GTCTCCAGCGACTGGTGGATCACACTCGTTCGATACGTCTCACTGCGCTGGATCAGCTCCTGATGGGTTCCTTGCTCCGCACAGCGGCCCTCCTCAATCAGATAGATCTGATCCGCACGGTGGATCGTGTTCAGTCGATGCGCGATCGCGACAATGGTCGTGCGGCCCGCTAGTGTTGTCAGGGCTTCTTGGATCTTCTTTTCCGACTCCACATCCAGTGCGCTCGTCGACTCGTCCAGCAGCAGCAGCCGTGGCTTGCGCACCAGCGCGCGTGCAATTGACAGGCGCTGGCGCTGCCCGCCTGAGAATTGCTTGCCGTCGTGGCTGCACATCGTCTGGTACCCGTCCGGCAGGGCCATGATCACGTCGTGGATGTGCGCCATGCGACACGCTGCTTCGATCTCTTCTTGTGTTGGTTCATGCCCAGGGCAAGCACCCAGGCCAATGTTGAACGCGACCGTGCCTTCGAACAGAACATTCTCTTGCGGCACCAATGCGATATCATCCCGAAACTCAGTGCCTAGTTGCCGAGTCACGTCAACTCCGTCGATGATCACCGACCCGGCTGAAGGACGGTAAAATCGCTCCAGCATGGCAAAGGTCGTCGATTTGCCCGATCCGCTAGGTCCGACCAGCGCACAGAACTGACCGGGCTTGATGTCCAGGTTAAGTCCTCGTAAGATTGGACGTTCAGGCCGATTGGGGTAGGTGAAGTGCACCCCACGAAGCTGGGCGCCGATACCGTTGCCATTCGTCTGGCGCACACCCGTACGGGGCTTCTCTGCGGCCTCCACGTCCTGTGTGGCGGCCTTTTCCTCAAGCAGCCTGCTTGAGGGTTGCATGCTCTGCATGGAACCCGGAGTCAGCTCCTCCTCCGCAGAGCGGGTAGTGAGCAGATCAACAATGTTGGACGACGCCAGACGGGCCTTGGAGATATCTGGCGCCAGAGCAAACATTTGACCACAAGACTGCGTACTGAATAGCAGGCAAGGGAGGACAATAAAGAACTGAGTCTGGGAGTAGAGCCCCGATGCCACCTGCCTCGATCCCCACCAATATGCGAGGGCATACACCAAGTTGCTGATGCTAAACGCCAATGCCAACCAGGCGTTGCCGTGTGCAATAGCCTTCATTGTGTCCCGGTAGGGACGGCGCAGGGCTCGAACGAACACTTCCTGAGATTGCTTCTCGAGGGAGAATGCTGCAACAGCACGAATGTTATCGACGGCCTCGACTGTGATGGCCGTTGCCTTGGCAAATGCCTTCTGATGCCGCTCGGTAAACTTGGCTTGGACACGGAGCTTCATCATGCCTGCTATAAGTAGGACGGGTATGGTCGGAAATAAGACAATAGTGATCTTCCACGCGATAGCAAACGATATCACCAGCCCGGCTACCAGGTTGACGGCTGTAGCAAGGAGGAGACCGATAGTTGATCCGGTAATGCCACTCAGCGAAGCAGCATCCCCAGTGATATATGTGATCAAAGTTCCTGGTGTCCGGTCCTCCATACCATGCCATTGTATGGTCTGGCTAAGCAGCGATCGTAGCGATAGCACTCGGAGCCGATACAGGATCTTATCCGCTGCCCAGCCAAAGGCGCAGCCGCCCACCACATTTGCCGTAAGCTCAACCAGGGCAAGGATGAAAAACAGCAACCCATAAAGGTTGCCACTGTCACTGATGGCATCAGAAGATCTGCAGGGGCTCAGACTACCAACTGTGTGGCCAAAGACGATCGCCTCGGCCGAGTAGCTACCTCCAATGATGACGGACATACAGAGGCCGAGGCAAATCAACGGCAGGTTGGCCCGCACTAGCGAGAACGTATACTTAATGGTGAACCAGCCCGAACGGCTTCTCTTCTTGTCTTTGCTCCCATCACCATTTTTGGAACCAGGGGACACCTCACCAACCACCGTGTCTTCAGTGATGTCTGAGCCCCCAATGCCTACCAAGGGTTCCTTTTCGTCTGCCGGCTGCACACTCTCATGAAGACTGCTCGTGGTGATCATATCGTGAGGGCTCTTCAGATCTTCAATACTCAATTTACCCAGGTTTTGCAGCCGTACCATTTCTGCGTACACGCCGCCCTGCGCCACGAGCTCCGCATGAGATCCTTCCTCTGTGACACGTCCAGTCTGTACGACAACAATCTTGTGTGCATTTTTGGCAGTGGCTAGTCGATGTGCGATCGAAACCGTGGTTACCGTTTCGGAGACTTTGGCCAGTGCAGCCTGGATAAGTTGTTCGCTGGTGGAATCCAAGGCAGCCGTAGCCTCATCGAGAATGAGTAAACACGGTTCTCGCACAAGAGCACGAGCAAGGGCAATTCGCTGCCTCTGACCTCCACTCAGCTGATTTCCTGCTGTTCCAACGAGGGTTGCGAATCCGTGAGGCAAAGCATCAATGAAGTTCAACGCATTAGCGCTGGCGGCTGCCTCCCTGACGAGTTCTAAAATCTCGGCCACACAACTGTCGAAGCCAGTAAGAGCAGCATTCTCGGACATGCCTTCCCTGATCTTGAAAGCAAGATCCGAAAGACTTTCATCGAGAATGAACGGGGCGAGCCGTTGATGCTTCTCTGAGGATGAGGACACCAGGCCGTACGCAATATTCTCCAGAATTGTTCGATCCAATAAAGCCGGTTCTTGTTGAACGAAACCAATATTGCCTCGCAAATGTCGAACATTGATATTTCGGAAACTCTTTCCTCCGATGGTCACATCGCCTGATGCAGGGTCATAGAACCGTTCTAGGAGAGAAACCACGGTTGACTTTCCACCGCCGGAGGGTCCAACAATGGCGGTATGCTTCCTAGGAGGAATGACAAAACTCATTCCCCGGAGTACTGGAACGTCTGGTCGAGCCGGGTACGAAAAGTGAACATTATGAAACTCAATGTTCTCCTCTCCGAAGGCAGTCTTCTTATCACCTTCGTCTGCGGTTCCATCAATGGCAGAACGACGATTGATCACGGCTAGAAGTCGCTCCGAGGCACCGGCTGCGGACGCAAAGACATGGATAAAGGGGGCAACTTGACTTAAGATGAAGGAAGCATCGATGAGAACGAAAATGACAGTGTATACAGCACCCACAGAAATACCTGAGTTATCGTGGGCAACCGAGTTGGAAATCATCTCGGAACCCTCCCAGAAAGCCAAGGCGTTGGCTGAGTATGCCACAAAGTACAAGAATCCAAGTTGCGTAGCATGCGTACCTGCCTTTTTGAGTGCATCCATCGATGACCTGGAGAGATAAGTGGCAAATCGCTGCTCCAAGCGGTCGTTGGCATTGAAAGCATGAACCAGGGTCAAATGCGATAGACTGGACGAGGCAATCGATGTAGCCGCATTGATATTGGCAGTAATCCGGCTCGCATATTTTTTGATGAAGTGACCTCCTACCAGGGACATGAGGAGAAAGCAAGGCACCACTGAAACCAGCATGCCCGCAATCTTTGGCGCCTTAATGAAAGCCACGATATAGGCGGTCACAAAGTATGAAACAGTGGAGATTACCAGGCCCACCTTCTCCGAGGTCCCCATTTGCACTGTCTCAATGTCACTGACCAACCGGGAGATCACATCGCCCGAAGGAAGAGACTCGATGAAATTCATGTCCTGCCTAATGATACTTTCAAAGTATCGCCTGCGATAGCGGCGCGCCAGACGTTCGCTCACCAAGCACCAACATGACGTGTAGATATAGATGATGAAGAAGTTCGCTATGGTGATGTAAATCACATAGAGAACCTCGGTGCGTACACTGGACGACAAATTTGACGAAGCATTGTCTGAAGTGGAACAAGTTGTCGAATTGAGGTTGTTGATCAGATTACCAAATACAATCCCAAGCAGAGGGAAGGGGATTCCTCCAGCTATCCCGAATATCACGCCGCATACAATGAGAAATACGTCGAATATGGTGTAATCCAAAGAAAATAGAAGGTGCACGTAGGCAAAGAACTGCTTCAGGTGTGCTTTGGTTGGGATTAGTCCTTTGACAGATCGCATCTAGATGCAAAGAGAGGGTTCACCCAAGTCAGTACCTGATGCCCATCCTTCGAACGAGCGAATTGGACTTGACATACCAAACCATAGACACCATTAGAGTCTGCCCGCCCATCAGACAATGGTTCTGGGTCTGCCATTGTGACTTATAGGTGTGCGCAGTCTCGGTTGGAAGCGGCAGGGCAAGGCTCGAGTAGTTAAGTATGGATCCTGTTATATGACAGGACCTGCTGTCGCGACTCTAAACTTCAGTCGCAATGTGTCAACGAAAGAGGCGCACGGGGAGCCAGGGCGCTGGTGCTCCAGAGTCCCTCAATTGGAAGGGTATGAGTCGAAATCCCCGCGGAACGGATCGACCGGCAATGGGGCAAGAGTGAACCGATACACTCAGACAGACGTCCCCCAAAAAGCATCCCCGCCAATGTCGACAATACTCTATTCAAGTGAGTAATTCACCAGATCTGGAGAAAGCGGAGGGGAGAAAGAAGGAGGACGGGAGTTTAAAGAGAGAATGTCCACAAGAAAAAAATAGAAAAGGAGCTAGCATAGTTCGTACAGAGCAGGGACACACTAAACTTCAAGACCCGAATTGCTCCTTATAATTGCTCCGGTTGCGGCCCTGAAAGAGCTAAGACTTGGGGCCGAGCAGCAGTTGACGCCATGGTGTGCTTGAGCCCAAAGGCCAGTCAATGGAGGGGAAGGCCATGAGTAAGAGAAACCCGGTAACCCCCAAAGAATCCACCATCGGAAAAGAGGGTCCCGTTCCAGCTGGTTGACTGAGCGGAGAAGATCAAAACCTACGAAGGGGGAATTGTACCGGAGAAAGAGGTATGGATCGTCACTCGACAGGGAAAGAGGAGGACGAGGAACCGGAGAATGACCCAGCAACGACATGATTTTCGCCCAGTGGACACATGTACCTCACAAGTACTGCAGACAATCGATCCCAATAGGATGTACTGCGGGTGTGAGTAATTGCAGCAAACACCGGACTGCCGTTGAAAGTTCACGACTTGGATTGAGGAACGGCGAGGAGAATCAATCATTGGATGTTTTTGTTCCAGACGTAGTGGAGCCAAAGTGGGAGGCCAGTTCGGCGGTTCCTGGGATCTGTGTAACACTAAGAAAAAGTACTAACCGAGGCTATACTAGTCGACTAAGTCTACGCTGGCTAGTCACCTAACGCTTATGATCGTCTTTTAATCTCAAGGAACCCACGAAAAAAACAATAATAATATCAAGTGGCTCTCGGAGAATGCTATTTCTACCGTTCAACAGCCAGACTGAGGCTTCCAACTACAACTACTCATAGAGAAAGGGCAGGTGCTCATCTTCAAGGGCTTCAAATACACGACAAAAGCACCAGGAGAGAGAGAGAAAAGAAAAGTAAAAAAAGAAAAGAAAAAAGGGTCTCGTTGTGTGATATGCATGAATCAAAACTCAACTGGAACTGAAAACGAGGCAACAAGCGCTAAGGATCTGGGCGTGGGACGTGGCTGGATGGATCGACATGTCGTCGGGCTCATCTGATAACTCTGTTGTCGAGGTTCGCTCCATCACCTGCAGACCCGCAGCCCAATCACCTGCCTATTCTGGTGCCGCCGCGGGAAATTTTTCATCTTCTGCCGTCTTCTTCCTTCTTCTCCTTCTCTGCGGTGTAAATCTTCATCTTCTCTCACGAACCTTCAGATGAAACCTTCATAGGTCGGTTTTCGTATAACGCCATTTTTGGGTTACTTCATAGGTCAAATCCACAAATGCAGATTGTGTACTGAGTGAGTATCCACCCCCACCAGTATTTTGGACTCTTTCAGCCCCGCTCGGGCAGGCATGACCACTGCAACACTGTTGTGTTACCCGTTCAACACAGAACTGAAACGAGACAGCATTCCGCTGTAGCAGTCAAATCCCGTGAACTCACTTACTATCGTGTATACCATAGCAATATAAGAAACAAGAGACTACAATTGATTTAAATTGCATAAATTAGTTACGAAGCCTTCCATGATTCTAGAATTATGTAGCGTCCGTTCTATCCCAGAATAAGTAAAATACTAACCACAACTTATCCACAATCCCACTTCTGATGGGGTTCGCCGATGGAGCAGTCCAAGTTATCAGATGGCGCGGCGTGTTCCTCCCAGTTCTCACTTAAGTAACCCCCATCCATCGGGCACCACCAGTAATTTCTGCTCGCACCTCCTGACTATTTACTTTGCACACTAGTTAGTTTGCGACAAGCAGCGACTCTTGTTTCTATTTCTGATTCCAGGGGGGCGGAAATATGACATAGTTCTACCTTGTTAGTTTACTCCGTAGTCAGCCTTGGTTCCAATTTCCTTTATCTAATCTGATCAATCAACACTCCCCCTGAGTTCCTCTGATTAGATGCAGATCTGATTAGATAGTTCCTGCGTGTTTGACCTTCCATTCTTGCCCAGACGATCGACCAGAGTAATGTAAGGGACAAGCGACAATCTGTGTTCTTGTTCAAGCATTCACTGTGATGTGTCGCCCGATCTGACGCGTAGCTGCGGATTCGCGCATCGTATTCGTGTATCATATCTAACACGTCTCTGCTGCTGCTGTACACACCCGCCAACGATACGCACTTGCCTCAACGCGTGTGTAGTTGCTTCCTTTGGTAATATTTGTTTTTGCCACTTCCTGATAGTCTACTACCCTGTTTCATTACCTATCTCCTGTCAATCTATGCTACTATCCATCTTACCCTTCTACATGTGGCATCTTCTATGGCTTGTTTGATGGCCACCGATTGGAGACTCAGTTGAGTGAATCGATCTTTCTTTTCTACTAGATCGAACTGCATGGCTAATGTGTACAGATTCCTTCTTAGGTCGCTGGTGTGTTCCTATCATTTCCCCGGCCTGTTCTTGGGGCTTCACTCGGCACATTTGCCTTGTCCTTCTCGCCTGATGACCTTCCACTGCACTTAGCCGGTTAGGAGCAGTCGATAATGTGAAGAAATAAAGCAGAACAATACAAACAGAATGTTAAAACAAGATCATGAGACAATTTTTTTCTGTTGCTTTCTTTCTTCTCTAGCTCAAGAGGAAACAGATGCGGTATGAGAGTGTGAAAATTCGCTCTTACAAGACGTTGGCTTGAGGGGGTTTGTAGTAGGGAGGCGTTGTAGAGAAGAAGAAGAGAAGAAAAGAAGAAGAGAATGACCAAAGAAGAAATGGAGAAGCAAATAAACGAAGAAAAAAATGAAGAAATATGGAAGAAAAAAACATGAAGAGAATATTCCACCCCTTCCCGGGGACCAGGAGGGGGGTTGGTGATGCAATCAATAAGTATCTTGTTCATTGCGGCAGAGGTGTAGAGAAGGATTTTTCTGATTAAAAAATCTTTTTGTATCTGGATGGAAGCAGGCTTTCTTAGACAAGGAATATGAAGCGAAGTGAATCAAACCCGAGTAGGTATTATAATCTTGAATAGCCACTATTCCGTAACTTTAGGCTTCATGCTTTCTATCCAGTCTCTTACACTGGACACATATCTTTCAGTAGCAAAGAAGGCAAGCAAAAAGGTGAAATTGAATAAGATTACCTGAGTTTTTCTGAAGAAAAGCAAGAAAATAAGAAAAGCCAACTCAGCGGAGCCGAGAGTAAGTTCGAACCTGAACTTCATTGCAAGCGTGTGACAAAAGAAGAGCAAAACAAGACGACGAAATAATCTCTAACAAGTTTTGATTTTCTCAGGAAATTTCAGGAGAACAGAGCGGGTAGTAAAGCGTTGGAGTTGTGAAAGTAATTAGTTTGATATGCAGAGTAGAGGGTGTTGTGGAGAAGAAGAGGAGAAAAGAAGAGGAAGACGTCGGGGAAAGTCTCAAGCATTTGTAAGATGAGCTTACAAACAGCCCAGGAAAATAAGTAAGTTTTTTGAGAGTGGTAAAGTACGGAGTAGAGATCTGTCACTGAAATATGGGTCGGTATAAAACGGAATATGGTGAAGACGAAGAACAAAACGAAAGAAGGAGAGGATTGAGAGGAGAAAGGAGAGAGGATTCTCCAGGGAAATCACACAGCCCTTTGCAAGTTCGAGATGATCTTGCAAACAAACAGAGGCAGAAGATATCAAAACAAGGCATCAAACTGACCAGATGTGCCAGCTCTGCACTTCCGACAGTAACATCAAACCTGGTTCTAGACGGGATTTTGTAAGTAAAGCCTTGGGCAGAACACGACAAAAGGGTGTTAAGACGGCTCACCATCCGGCAAAGGACCGAGATCTGAGCCCAGAGGCTCACAATACATATCCCCTATAAGTTTGCTCGTAGGGAGCCCTGAAAAAGGGGTCGAGAAAAACAGGCAAGCAATGTTTTTGGAAGTGTTATTGGTTTGGGAAGAAATCTCAGAAAACCGGAAGATTTTGTGGATTGTTGAGAAGAAGAGAGGTGCTGTAGAGAAGAAGAGAAGAAGAGAAGAAGAGAAGAAGAGAAGAAGAGAAGAAGAGAAGAAGAGAAGAAGAGAAGAAGAGAAGAAGAGAAGATGAGAAGGGAAGGGCACGTTCTTCACTGCGCCAGGAGGTGTTCACGAGGTAGATAAGACGATCTAGTAGCCAAGGAAGAACTACAGCTAGCGGCGAGGTAATATAGAAGCAAGACGGGGGAGGAGTGTGGAGGAAGTTCGCAGGAAGCCTGAGGAGTGTTAGTAAAAGGGAAGTGCGATATAGTCTGCGGACATGAAGAGAGGAGATATGAGCAACACAGCGAAGCAGATGCGAGAAAGTACACTTGGGATAAGGGAACATGAAAGGCTTTTTTAGAGACACGTAAAAAGTCTCCTCCGATAATTCCACCAGATATGGGGCACTAGAAGCCGGCGCATGGGGAGAGATGCTGAAGACGCTGGGTTACGTCCAACACTGGTGGGATTCTACTATAATGAGGATTTCTCTGTCTTGGATCACCCATCACGTTTCCGGTCTTTCTTCACCCGTTCGGATAATCAGCCACCAGATCTTCCTTCGTAGTGCGCAGATTCCACCCAACGAGATGGCCACAAGTGAGACATGGAGTGTGCGTGTGCTTAAAATGACCCGGAGACAAGTCTGGGACGAAGGGTTCCTTGGAGTCCCTTGGCCCAAGCTTGAGTCATCTCTTGGAGAGATGCAGGCGCAGCTCAAATTCTGCACAATGCACAGTAATTTCCATCAGAGATACTAATATGATTCATTGAGTCCTATCAATAACGGATTGGGTCTTAACAATAACAATGCTCACAAGAAGGATGCTAACAATAGCGATGCTAATAATACAACACAGTGCAGGTCTCATTCACAACTGCTCCATAGCAATGAAATATAAAAGTAAGTTCCGAGTGTTCTCAGAAACCTGACCAATGATTTTCCAAAACTTCTCATCATCGGCAGTCATAGTATGCAAGTGTACACACAGCTGCGTCACTTTTTGCCGGATATTCGCTTGCTCGGATGTTAGATACTTGCTGGCAAGATCACCCAGCCTCTCCAGGACATCCATAGGGAAGTGAGCTGCACGAGAGGTCATCTGACGCAGGATATCCGTAAGAATGTTGAATACCATAAAAATGGCACGGTCATTAAGCGACGCTTCCTCCGCAGAGACGACGTCCACGACAGCCTTAACAATGTCCCCAAACTCTGCCGCGCTCACCATCTCCTCCGCGGCCTCATTCATAACAATCGCCATGTAGCAAGTTGTGTCGTAATTTTTTCGGGCTCTGATGATGGATTTGATTATACGAGATGCATATTCCCCCAATGACATCGTGGAACCACCATTGTCCACGAGTCGTTTCATGTGTCTGAATGTGTAACGCACTGTAATAAGCACCTGGGCTTTGGGGTCAAGCGGGCGCCCGAAGTATTGTTGCTTTTCGTCAGGTGGTCTCTCAAGTTCGCCCAAAAGGGCATCTAGAAGCTCGGAGTACTGCTCTTCGTTTTCGAACAGCCTATCGTGAAATTCAATTAGCCCCTGCAATTTGTGGTACCCATGAATGTCCATACTCTTAGAGTGAATCCTGGGGATTCCCTTCTCAAGAGTCTGTCTCGCTTTCATTGGGTCCTTGGAGCGGGGACTGATGCTTCGACGTCTCTCCTCGAAGCGTTTTTGTGCTGCCTCAAATTTAGGACAGCGATGCGTCGCCGTGTCGTTACTCGGTCCGGTAGAGGGACGTGTGCGCGGCACATGTAACGAAGGTAGACGTGGCAAAGAAGTCTGTGGTGACCTATTGTCACGATGATCTGGCTCATTTTTCGACAGTTCCTCTAGAGCATTGTTTTTCGGTGCATCGCGAGGGACTGACGGAGTGGTAGGTGGTTTTGTCTCTTTCGGGACAGAATTTTCATTGCCCTTCGCAATAGGAGATGATGGTTTGGGCAAAGGGATCTCGCGCAGTCTCAGAGGGTCTGTCACTACGATAGGATGGTGTACAACAGTGGAAGATAGGCTGACAGACCGCTCTGCGGCTTCATCCGCAATTTCATCGCTCTTTTCCTTCGTGTCTTCGTATATGACGACCTGATTTGTCGCCTTGTCTACAGGTTCCTTCTGATCTGGCGTGGCCGGGCGAGTCGGCTCAAGCCGTCGGCTCTTCCCCATCGGCCGCATAGGTGCGGAGGACAAAGATGAGACCTGAGGAGCCGACTCAGGCCGCGGGGTCATAGCAGTTTTTGGTGCGAGGTGTGCTTTCTTCTGCGCTGCGATCGCCTGTTTCAATGCACTTCTTCCCGGAATAACGTTGGTGCTGCTTGTAGTGGCTTTCTGAGACGTTGTAGAAGATTTCGAAGCATGTCGGTCTGCAGTTTGCATGTTGCCAGCAGCCGGGTTAGCTGGATCTTTCTCCAATAGCGACCGTGACTTTGGGTCAAGGTCAGACATGATACTGTAGTCTGTTAGCCAGTTTATTCACCAAGGTCACAAAACAGTATGATAGTGGAAACCCACAATTTGGCTTTCTGAGGCCAGACGCTGTAGTATGTCCAGAAAGTCTTCCTCATTGCCTCACGAACACCCGGATTAGCATCACCAAGTCCTTTCTTAAGACTTCTCTCGATGAGCTCGATTCCACCGCCGTGTTCAATGGAGGACTTATGACCAGCCTGTTTGTTGATAAGAGTGTTGTACCATCCAGCTGAGAACAGACGCAACTGGACGTTCTTGTCTTGGGAAGCGGCGTAGACATGCTGGAGAATTCGATGAGTGTATGTCACGTTTCCAATAACAATGTCAACGGTCAGATTCCCATTTTCGGCCGTTATTTTCTTCATACCGGCGCAAAGTTTGATGAGATTTTGCAGGATAATCTCCATCATCGGATCGATTCTAGGGCCACACTTTCGGGCGAGATCCTGAATGAGCAGACATCCGTTTGTTCCCATAGTAGTTCGGAGCGAGTTCACGACTTTGAAAATGCCATCCAGAATCGACTTGATAGCAGCGACAAAAGTCTGAGAGTATGCATGGGGCGCATTGCCATGCGTAAGTCGGCGTAGAGTAATGACACTCTTTTCACGATGCACCCAGTTATCTTCGGACTCACGTCCTTCGAAATATGGTGTCATTAGACGCACGAATTCATCTATCTCCCGAGCGGATGAAACGATGATTGGTTCCACATCGGAAGGAGCAGGCACTTCTGGCTGTTTGCTGAGCTGAGAAGCCGGTCTGATTAGACTATCTTGAGTGACGGTGTCGACGCGAGAGGCCGGTCTGTGGTCAATTCGCAAGGTTGGTTTCTGGTCAGCACGCGAGGCCGGTCTCTGCTCGACACGCGAGGCCGTTTTCTGCTCAACACGCGAGGTCGGTGCCTGATCAATTCGCAAGGTCGGTCTCTGATCAACCCGCGAGGCCGTTTTCTGCTCAACACGCGAGGCCATTTTCTGCTCAACACGCGAAGCCGGTCCCTGGTCAACACGCGAGGCTGGTCCCTGGTCCATTCGCAAGGTCGGTCTCTGATCAACACGTGAGGCCGGTCTTTGATCAACACGTGAAGCCGGTCTCTGGTCAATTCGTGAGGCCGGTCTTTGATCAACACGTGAGACTGGTCTTTGATCAACACGTGAGGCCGATCTCTGGTCAATACGCGAGGCCGGTCGTGAAAGATGATCAGACTCATCAGATTCAAGGCCAAGATTCGTCAGAATGATGCTGACAATAGACTTTCTGACATTGAGTTCACTCAGTTGCTTTTTGAGATCTGCCTTCGCATGTGCGGGTGCATTCCTAAGTCAAGTTAGCGGCAGAGGCTCGAGGAAAAGACCAACGAAACTTACTGGAACAGCTCGACAATGGTCGCCTTGGCTGTATCTCTGACGGCACTATCGGCGTCCTCGAGACATGCCACAAGACTAGGGACATATGGACGGAAGAGCAAGCCATACTGCTTAGCCATCTGCCAGTGGAGTTCGGTCAGCTTTGCTCAGGATCGATAGGGGGGAGACTTACATTAGCTAGCCAGATCATGCTCATTTCCCTAGCTCTGTTGTTTTTGCCGACAAGGGCCGTTCCCAGGACATGTTGTTCAACTTCATGGCTAGCTGCAGGCCAAAAGTCAGTGAACGCTTGGGCCGCCTGTGCTCTGACTCGCTCCTTGTGATCGCCCAGGCGTTCCAAGAGCAACGGGTAAAGGTGGCGAGCCTGCGAAGCAACTATACTATGCTGTTCTTGAATGAACAGTCGCTTCAAAAAGTGACCCAAGGTGGAGAAACCAGCAGACAGAAGTGTGGAGTGAGAAGAGGCAATTGACAGACGCAACGATTCAAAGATCGGTGGAATTGCGCCCTCTGAAACATTCTTCTGCTTGATGTCTGACTTAACAGAATTTAAGAAGCTGACCTTGGCATCTATGGCCAGGTTCAGGTTTTTCAAAGTTGCTACCAACTCGGTAGCCTTGGGTTCCATACTCTTAATCCAGTCTTTCACACTGGAAGCATACTTTTCGATGAGATAAAAGGTACACAGGAAGCACAAAGCAAACAAAAACAGCCGCAAAATACCGAAAAACGCGAGAAAGACAAGCACAAAGCTCAGCTCAGCAGGGCCGAGAGTAATCTCAAATCTGAACAACATTGTTAGAAAGAAATCACTGTTCAGAGACAAGATGAAACGAGAAAAACAAAACAACAGAACAATTTTTTTGGTAAGTTAAAGGATTCTTTTTTTTCGATACAAAGCACAAAGTTCAGGGCAGACAATGTAATAGCGTTGGAAGAGTGTTTCGATTTTGACAGTTTGGAGGAGAAGAAGAGGGTGGTAGGGAAGAAGAAGAGAAGAGAAGAGGGGGAGTCGGGGGGAGTTCATAAACCAACAACAACATGATGGCGCTGAGGAAAGTGCACATACCTGCTATATTGGGTAGTCGCGATGAGAAGATGACGGAGACGGTGAACGGGGGAGGCAGGCAGGGAGGGAGGGAGTTGTTACAATATGAGCTCTGATCTGGAAAGAGGAGGATGAAGTAGCGACGAGGGTTGCAAAGTGACGCAGTGACGGGGAAACTTCTCAGCGCTTATCGCCGCGCCTGTTTCGCTTATCGGGCCGACGCGACTCCACCAGCCTGGTTCACTTCCAACGATGACAGCGAGGCGATCGGTATGTAGGGGTATATCAGAGTGCAGAGTGTTACAATAATGCATGGAAAGATGTGGGTGGTTTGTTTCGTTGGATGATCGCAAATGAGGGGTGGTCGATGATCGGGCGGCGCGCTGTCCCTGAATCTTCTTATTTTTTTTTCCTCGCTTTGTTTACCCGCAATGATTCACCCCGTTTTGGGTAAACAAGTGGGGGACTGGAACTTTTTCGTCTGCAGCCACGAATCGATTGTTGTTATGGCAGCTGCCCAACTGTTGTTGACGAACTGGAGTTCTGGACTCTATGACTTGTGCTCTAAATGATTGTTGTTCTGAGCCTCACTAATCCTAATAATCTCTTTCTCCCCCCCTTTTTTTTTTCCTTCTCCATCTGCCCTGATTCTTGGTTCTCCGCCGCACTACGCGTAGTACTAGTATCCCTCTCATCTGCCCCTATTTTCCTTTCTCCCCTTGGGTTTTGGACGGAAGGTGCGGGTGACCTCTTAACTAAGGGTGGACCGTGGGGACAGTAGTAGACTCGTTTTCGGATGCAGTCTTATCGATAGTCAACTCCACGGCCAAGATAACTCTACAACTTAGCATACATGCTACTAGTACGTTCTATTTGATTCGAGAATAGCAGTAGACCCTTATTAATGACTGGTAATTTGAAATAACACATCAGATTCGGAGTAAAAAAGCGCGCTGCATACTAATTGCTCCACGCGATCGAGCGTGAAACTGCGCCTACGTGTTCCTTTTTGCTCTTTCCTTCGCCCCTGAAAATATATAATCACGACGAGTACTAGTAGTAAACACCCGCAGCCCGAGCAACCAAACACTGAAGGTGAGTCATCATTGATTACTGTACTACTACTAATTACTAGTTACTAAACGCCATGTACAACAGCGCAGAGTCTATAGCTAACCTTGAGACCAAAATATCTAGAGAATCAGAACAATGAATAGTATTAAATAGGTTAAATCCTGCTTTTGAAACTAATCACATACCACAGCCAGTCACACTGCAAGTGGATTTAATTAGACTGCAGCAACTCCACTCGATCGCCGCGCCGCGCGGTGGATCACTCAAAAAGACGGCGGGCACTTGGACCAGCTTCGGTGTGTCACAGCGCGCGCAAGCGCGATGCAACAAGCGAACCTGACGGTCGGTGGAGGGGCTCGCGTCAAGCATCGATTGATCAACTTTAATTCGGATTCTTCACGATGAATTGTCCATAGTCTGGTCTGCGCTTGATTGGCGGGCTTCCGCGACCCCTGCGGCGGCTATGCTGCATGCGCTACTGACTAGACGACGCCATGCCTCAAGCCTTCAACCTTGCTATAAGCGACGTAGTAATCCTCCGTCTTAGATTGTTTCGACTTCTACTACATTCCTATCCCCTCTTCACCCTATAGATCATCCATACACCACTAGTACTAGTTATACTATACCCATTGAACAATGTCAACGTCCGCACCCCAAGCTACACCCTCACCACTCCCACCGCAACAACAACCACCACCACCACCCAGCTCCAAACCACCCCTCCCTCAAGACCAGGATATCCCCCAACCCACCCTCCGCCTTCAAATCAACGACCTTCGCCATCCAGCCTCGAAAGCTTTCCTAACCCTCCTCCCCGACCTAAACTCCACACTCACAACCGCCCTCTCCACCATAATCCAGCACCTCTACACACCCCCCTCACACCCTCACCACGACCAACAAACACCAACATTCACCCCCTCCCCACCCCCAACCCGCTCCGTAACGCTCTTCCTCCGCGCCATCGACGGCGTAGCCTACACAACCGGCACGGAGCTCGACAACGACCACAAAGAAATCCACCTGTCCCTCTCCTACATTCGAACCATTACCACCAATAGCAATCCCAATCCCACCGCCGAACTAACCGGCGTCCTCACCCACGAGCTCGTCCACTGCTACCAGCACACCGCGCCCCCAGACTCCACTACTACCCCACCACCCCCAGGCGGCCTTATCGAGGGCATCGCGGATTTCGTGCGCCTCAAGGCAGGTCTAGAACCGCCGCATTGGAAGCGCCCTGCGTCGGCGAAGGAGAGAGCGAGCAAGTGGGACCAGGGATATCAGCATACAGCGTACTTCTTGGCTTGGTTGGAGGATGTTAAGATTGGACGGGGGGCGGTCGGGATGCTGAATGACCGGTTGTTGAGGGTGGGGTATGGGAATGGGTTCTGGGAGGGCCTTTTTGGGATGGGGGTTTTGGAGCTTTGGGAGGAGTATGGAGCGTGGTTGGATCGGGGGGGAGTAGGGGATGGTACTACGGGTGGGTGCTGGGAGGATGAGATTGTTGATCGGGTATGAATGGGTATTATTACTTTGCTGTACGGAGTGAGCAGTCTGGGTTGGCTGGTGGTGTTGTGGGAATGGTGATGGTTGAATGGCGTCAGGGTCTTGTCCAAGAAGGGTACTTTGGTGCAACTGCTAAGTGCCCTTGACCGGTCTATGCTTATCCGTTGTGCGCAAAGGTCCATTGATTTCAATAGAGTACATACCTCTATATACCTACTGTCTGTCAACAGCGTAATCCCAATTCCATCTCTAGCCAGTCTTCAAAGATGCAATACAAATGGAACGTTTTAAATCGGATAACATGAACATAGAAATAACATCAGAAGAAAAATAAATTTCCCATATTGTACAAATCCTTGCAATGGTGAATAGATGAGGGGGTAGCAGTATGTAATGTTGCATCGCTGTCAATCCCGCATTGACAACATCTATAACAGATATAATGTGTGACGCCGTTTCTTGAAATCTCTCTCATGCCCACTCTACACAATCACCTCGCCCAAGTCCACGTGCACCGGCTTCCAGGGAGCGGCTCCCTCTTCCTCCATCGAACTAGGCACGCGCACGTTCAGCGGACTGTACAGGTACCATCCCTTCAGGGCGGCGACAGCAGCCCTGGAACGAGCCTCGAGCAGACTGGCGCCAGCGCCCTCGCCCAACTTATCCTGACCAGAGTAGATGCCAACGACAAACACGGGGTGTCTGCTCTTGCGACCGGTTTCACTGATGATCCGGGCAACGGGCTGCTCGAAGTTCTCTCGAGCACACAGGCGAGCAAGGTCCCGAGCGGGTTGGGAGAAGTTGAACAGGTCGGAGATGTTGAGGTGACGAGAGAGGAAGTGCTGCTCGAAGAACCGCTTGGCAGCAGGGCGGCCTGCGTGTAGGTAGATAGCACCCATCACAGCACGCACAAAGGTTGCGTTAGCCTGTTCGGCAGTCACGCCCTGGGTGTTCTGGACGTCCTGCTTGGACTGTTCCGAGGGATCCTTGGGCCCCTTGACCGGGTCTCCGAACTCATTGTCGTAGACGACACTTGACGTGATGGACTTCCGCCAATGCGTCTGATCTTCGTGAGGTCTCGCTGTGCCAGTGACAGGCTTCGAGTGCACGTCAACTCCCGGGAGTACTCTGTTGAACTGCAGGTAGCCGGGGTCAACTTCTCCACCAGGGGCAGCAGCGGACTCCACACCCCATTCTCTCGCCATTGCGGCCAATGTCTTTGGCCCGACATACGCATACATGGCTGCGAATATAACGGTCAAGGGGAGTCGGGGATACGTGCAGATGAGGTATTCGGAGGTGTAGTGTGTCAACAAATCGTGACCGAGGGTGGCCAAAGATTCATTGTTGAATTTAGGGTTCGGATCAGCCGAGGCGTCCACGAGAGAGCGAGCAAGGGTCTCGAGCGGTAATCGTGAAGGAAGGTAAAGTCGTGCGTGCAGCGCAGCCAGTTTGGCGGACTCGCGTGCGGCCTCGACCGGGGGAGACGGGAGTTGGTACTTCGACTGTCGGGAGGTAGGGGGGCGAATAGATGATGCTAGAGGGTCTTCCTCGATCAATTGATCATTGGCAGCCGGCGCAGCAGGCGAAGCGGTCGATTGATGCCGGATGCCAGTGTAGAGACGGTGCTGCAGGCGGCCACCAGTCCGGGCCTGCGCCGAAAGGACCGAACTGCTCCATCGTTGGAGCTGCAGCCTCTTCATCTGGGCAACTGTGTGGATATAAGGCCGTAAATTAGAAAAAGACCGAATTCAATAGGAATGACCGCCCGGGGACGTGGCGTGGAGTGTTCAAGACGGGGGCAGATCCAACTTGAGCCGGCACGAACTTTTGGTCGGTAGAGAAAAGTCGAGCTTCGGAGAAAGTCACGGGGTCTGGCGGTCGTGTGAGAATCGGCCAGGTGGCGCTAAACCCAATAGGGATATAGCGTCACGGGGTCTGGGACGAGGGACGAACGACGGCCATTTCGGCTTCCAACCCGCCCAGAATAACGACGAGCTTCTCAGCGAGCCATTGTCCACGTCTTTTCCCTACGTTTACTCTACATACCCTCAATTCACCATGGGTGGAGGCGGCAAGATCCCGTATGCGACTCTTCTCCCACCCGGTACTGCCATTGCATCTGAAGTTGACTGAATTCTTTCCGCAGGTATCCCAAGGAAGTCTGGTCTCCCGCGGGTGGCTGGTACGCTCAGCCCGCAAACTGGAGGGTCAACACTGCCATCATTGGCGCGGCTGTTCTTGGAGTTGTCGCTGTGACCTGGAGCATCAGTGCCGACCGTGAGCACCGTGACAAGATGCCCGAGCCGGGCAGATTCTTCCCTAGTCGCTAGTCAGTCCCCTCAGCCAATCTCGTGTCATGTGTTTCTAAGCAGCAGTCATTGACTTTATATTGCTTCTATCTAGCTGGAGCCGGGAAATTAGAGAACACGAAAAGCAGCTGGCCGCCCAGAACCAGTCATAGAGCGGCAACAGAATGAAGAGGTAGTTGTGGGAAAATGAGTACCCGTGGTGGTTTTCTATGGCATGACAGGTTTTGTTTCATAATTTTGTGGGCTGTACGACAATAGAAGGGCGTTCTTCCATACGGTCAGTTGATCTGAAAGTGCTTCTGAGGAGACTCTTCCAATGTTCGATACAAGCGCTGTGTGTACAGACGGACCCGTTCCGTGAACTCAGTCTCGTTCCAAAGCTCCTTCCCATCACTGGATGTAGACATGCGAGGCACTCCGATCTGCTCAACCACGAAGCTGGCCGCCACAGTAGCGAAAATCAAGGCCGTCAAGACTTGGCTATGCTGTGCAGCAGCTTGGATCGCTTCCTGCCATGCCGTAGACCCTGCGAGGACCGAGTCGACAAGGTTGGCCGGTTCTCTGCCTGCACTGACCATGCCTTGTGTCAGGGCACCCAGAAAAGAATTGCCCGCGCCAGTGGGGTCAATCACCGCTGACGCCCCTGAAGCACTGGGCTGATGGTAGGCGGGCAGCCAGACCCTCTGGGATCTAGAGTAAGAGTAGCTGCCGTCTTTGCCGGCTCTGATAACCAAATGCCCGTTCCCATCAGGACCAATACCTGACTCAAGAATCTTCTTGACGATGTTTTTCCCATAGTCGGTCTCCTCGCTCCAACCAGGCTGGCCAAACATCATTCCGAGTTCCAGTTCGTTGGGGCTCACAACGTCTACTACTTGGTTCGCAGCAAGGAACCTCTCTTGCTCCTCTGGCGTGCATAGATCCGGCACAGGTTCCCAAACAAAAATAGGTCTTTGCGCAGCGTGCTTCGCTGGGGGAGCTTTGCCTGCTCGCTGTAGCTCCTCCCGTCTGCGCAAGATCGTTTCCACGATTGAAATACAACGAGAGGAGGAGCAGACCATGTGGAAAGTCTTGGAGAACACCTGAGAATCAGACAGCATTTCTGGTTCCAAGCGCAACTTCGGAGTCAGGTATTTGAAGTCTGCGACAGGGGTTAGTGGTCGTTGTAGTCGCAGATGATAAGAATAGACACCGACCTCGCTTCTCATTTGGACCGTAACCATTCCAGGCTCTGGTGGTCAAACGACTTTGATCCTCTCGGAATACGCAGTTGGTATCCCACGACTTGAGCAGATCGAGAACATCTGGAGGGAAGTCGGAGCCAACATCCACAATCCAGCTCACAGCCTGCGAGTGTTCTCTTCCGGTTACCAAGCGGGCACCAACGACGGCAAATGATGCAGCGCCTCCTAGAACGTTCTTTACATTGGGTCTTGTTCCATCGAAGTCTATATCGTCTATATCACAGGGAAGGGGGTTTCCGTAAGTACATAGTGCGATTTCGACTTCCATATGGGTAGATCATGGCGTACCAAGAATGAACATGCCCATTGTGCAGAAGTCCACATTGTTTCTAGAGTGCTCCGAAGAGCTATGGCCTTCCAACATGGTTACGGAAGCGCTCAATTACCTTCAAAGGAGAATGACTGGTGAGATCCTGTACTCTGGCGGGGTTCGAGGGATTCAATCCAGCCGCCGCTTGAGTCTCCGTCATGGCGGCCTTATCGGATTACCGGCTGATACCACCAACGTCATGGGAGACGGGCGGATAACGGCCACGCTGGCGTACCGTACGGTATGACCCACTATCAGGAGCTCCAGGCCTCAGGCACGGGTCAGGAGCATCGCCGTCTCATGCAATTCCAACGGCTGCCTTGATCCTCTCCCTCCTCAGCATCTTACTTTCTTTGCCTACAGGTCGCTACTGACCATTCTTCTATCTCTCAATCGTGGCACACGGTAGCCCGTGCCCATTAATAGCTCCCTTTGCCCTCCTTTCCTTCGACTGTCTCTAATAGCTCCCTCCCTCCTTACTTCGACAGGGGCCGTCAAGATGGCGACAGGAAGCCACATGCATAATCTTACCACCCTTATCAAGCGGTAAGTCTTGAAGAAACAGATGCGCTCGAGACTATAGCGCTATGCTCTCTTCTATTCTTTTATACATTCCTTCATCACCACCACAATGTGTTCCCGATTACATGTGTTTCTAACCAGCTGGAAATGCCAACAGGTTGGAAGCCGCAACCTCCCGCTTGGAGGATATGGCTATGTCACTGGATGACCCCAACTCGCCCAAGACCATAGCTCCCCCTGCTGTGCCTGAAGCAGCTACTCCTGAGCCCCCCAAACCAGCCGCAGCTGCGGCTCCCGCACCGCCCCCCATCCCGCCGCAAATCCAGGACTTCGACACCCTGATCAACGAGGATGTCCGGAACTTTGTGGAGTTGGGCCAGAAGATCAATGGCTTGGTCGGAGAACAGGTAGGAAGAGAAGCGCATGTCAAGCCGAGTGCGTCGCTTACAATTCCCCGCAGTCCAAGGTAGTCCTTCAAGCCTTCGAAGCCGAGCGTACCTACCTCCTCGTGGCCACGAAAGCTAGAAAGCCCGAGCAGCAGCCCCCGGAGCTCATGACGGGCCTTCACAATGCTTCGGACAGCATCAACAACATTCGGGAGTCGAACAGAGCTTCTCCTCTCTTCAACCACTTCAGTGCGGTCGCGGAGGGTATTGTTGCCCTGGGATGGTTCTTCGCGGACAAGCCCGCCGATTTTGTCACTGAGATGGCTGGAGGTGTCGAATACTACGGAAACAAGGTCCTGAAGGAGTACAAGGAGAAGTGCGCAACCTAACTATTCTCTATAATCCCCAATGGGAGCTGACCCATGCTGCAGGGACCGTACCCACGTCCAATACATCCAGGCCTACTACCAGATCTACAAGTCCCTCGCTGCATACCTGAAGAAGCACTACCCGAAGGGCCTGACCTGGAACGACAAGGATGGAATCGACGCCCAAGAAGCTCTCAGACAGGTCAAGGCTGGTGGCTCTGGCCCTGCCGCTGGCGGTGCTGCTCCTCCTCCCCCGCCACCCCCTCCAGTTCCGACTCTGAACGTGCCTGGTGGTGTTCCTCCCCCTCCTCCCCCGCCGCCCGGCGTCCCTCCTCCGCCTGCAGCAGCCCCAGCTGCACCAGACATGTCAGCTGTCTTTGACCAGCTGAACCAAGGCGAATCCGTCACCGCCGGCCTCCGGAAGGTCGACAAATCGCAGATGACGCACAAGAACCCGAACCTTCGCGCCAGCTCCATGGTTCCCGATAGTCCAACCTCCGCAGGCAGCGCCGTTCGGGGCAAGTCGCCTGCTCCGAGCAAGAAACCCAAGCCGGAGAGCATGCGCGCCCGCAAGCCCCCGCGCAAGGACCTGGAAGGCAACAAATGGTTCATCGAGAACTTCGAGAACCCCGGCGAGATCGTTGAGATCAACGCGCAGCAGAACCACTCCATCCTCATCTCGCGGTGCAACAAGACCATCATCAAGATCAACAACAAGGCCAACGCCATCTCCATCGACAACTGCACCGGCCTCTCCATCATCGTCGACTCCCTGGTCAGCAGCCTTGACGTCATCAAGTCCCCCAAGTTCGCCCTCCAAATAGACGGTGTCGTCCCCACCCTTCTCCTGGACCAGGTCGATGGTGCCACCGTCTACCTGGGCCAGCAGAGCCTGGCCACCGAGGTCTTCTCCAGCAAGTGCACTGCAGTCAACATCATGCTTCCTCCCAAGGAGGGAACCGACGAGGATACCAAGGAATGTCCTATCCCTGAGCAGATCAAGACGTACGTGAAGAACGGCGTTCTCGTTAACGAGATTGTCGAGCACGCTGGTTAGATATGCCCAGATGTGCATGTAGAAATCTCTTTGGATAGACCTCCCCCTCCGACAACAACCTACCACTATCACTACCACCATTCAAAATCGAGGCGATAATATACGGCAGTTGGAAATCTAGTTTCTGGACTTCAGTGCTGTGTTTTATTCCACTCACTTCCTGTAGATAAATCTATTTTTCCATTCCATTCTACACTCAGTTTTCGTCTTCCGTTAATAGTACGTGTAAGAACTTGTATAGAACGAGGGAGAAAGAGCCTCAAGTGGTCCTTCCCCTTTCCCCGCTCCACCTTCGCCCCGGGATGATTCTGCAACTGGTAATCTGTCTTTTTGGTGAACTACAGAATAGTATATAACTGGGTGTAAAGGGAGATGCGAAAGAGGAGATAATCTCAATTACCACACATCAAATCTACAACAAGTATGTGACATATGTTATATAACACCCGCAAGCATAGTGCAGACTCAGTCAGGCATTCGTGTTTCGCCCTGACTGAAACAGAATTGTCTCCGTATTATTCAAAACCCTGAAACAATTACCAGACCGCATGACACCGCATATTTAAACAATAGTAGAACAAAGTGAAAGTGCTGAACGCGCTGTGCTCATCAGTTGCTTGACCAGTGTTCAATCGAGGGTTATGAAAATTTGAAGGGATCGGCTAGAGCAGATAAAGAGGGAGTAAGAGAGAGAGAGAGAGAGAAAAGAAGACTTGTTCAAGATATCTAGAATAGTGGAATATGTAAAGAGCAGAGAAGGTGACTTGAGGTGGGTATATTTGCTAGTTCCCGTACTGTATGGTTGACCTGTGCGCCTTGCCGTGCGTATTTAATTTGGGGGAACGGCAGGATTGAACATTATAATGAATGCGATGATCCTGCATCTGCGCTTCAAATATGGTACTGTGCTGTTAGTTGAGGAAGACGATGGGTTTGTCCTGATGCGCTGTGTCGTCCTGCTTGAGGAGGAAAATGCACACTTAAATGAGATGTATGAAAGAAATGAAGAAGAGGAAACAGAAATAACAAGTTTACCATCACGATACGGTCGAAGTCATGCTGGCTCGGAAGCGTGCTGGCGTTATTCGCGGGCCTTTGTGAGGTCGGGAGAGTCGTGCTTGTGCACGTCCAAACCCCTAAGCTTTCTGGCCAGGAGGCTGTCACCAGCCTCCGAACCGTTGAAAGCGAACGGATACCCGCCATAGCCGGTCTCACCCTTACTGAGTTTACCATAGAGCCCACGCTCCATATTACACTGTTCCGCAAAACTCGAGTCGAGTTTGGGCCCTGGAGACAGTGACGGGATGGGCCGGAAAGGATGTGAGGAAGTATCGGGTGGACTGAAGAGGCTGGAGGTGCCTCGCGGGGCACCTTCTCGTCCTGCAAGTGTGCGACCCGAGAACGGGTCTTCTTGAGCACGCGTAGAGGAGCTCCCAGAGTAGGGGGGCTCTCGTGAGGTCATAGCCTCCGATGGGCTCAGCATTGATAATGGCTCTCGACCAGTGGGCGCTTTGTGTGGTATTTGGTCTGTCGAGGACTGTGTAGCTGCGTGCGTATGACTGGAGTCCCGCGAGGGTTTGTAAGGCGTATAACGGGGATCAGGGCATTGGATTTCATTGCGCAGTTTTTCCTTACCGTCGGGAACTCGGTTGGCAAATACAACACGAATGCTAGAGTGAAGATAAAATCGGCCCCGAGAAGGACAACATATGTTCAGATGGATCAAGTACCGTAGTGTAGGCTTGTCTTTGGGATCCTCAGAAGCGTTCAGCGACGCTTCGGGGCGATCGGTCCCATAATTCTTTCGAGCACTCAGAGGCATATCAATGATGGGACCCACCGAATAGCTTCGTTGTCGGATGAACGTCTTTGTCCCCGGTTCCATGTCGCTGAGGTCGTAAGGTACGAGGAACAGCTTCACAGCTGTCTTGTTGGGGTTCTTGATCATGATCTGTAACTGACCGTGTTGTGGGATTCGGTAACAACCACCTGGTGGACTTTTGGGCGATTCCGCCCTTCTGTGCCTCTTCTCGCGCCTGCGCAAAGTTTCCTGGTCAGTCGACCTAGGATCTGTGGTATTTCCCATGACACAGTCGTTGTGTGTTCCTGCAGGGCTCTGATGGCGCCTGCGACGTCGACTGCTACCACTGGACGTGTCCCGAGGAAGAAAATTGTCCAGATCGATCAAGCCAACATAAGGACTGGGGCTATCGTCCGCGATTGAGCGGCCGCTGCCTGACGTGGGGTAGCTGTAGAACACCGCCGGAAATGGGATTGTCACATGCGGTGGGCATTTGAGGTTGGCTTTGCATTTGCCTTTACCGAGGACGCCGATTTGCGCGGTGAAGTCCAACGGTTTGGAAGGGCTCATTGACATTCTTCCACGGAGGATGGACTCTTCGTATGAGCCAACCATTGGCGCATGCGCTCTGGAAGAGACTTCCGAGCCCACCGAGGGCCTTCGGACCCTCGCGATCGGAGTTTGAACCGAGGATGCAAGCTGAAGGCTGTATGCTGAGGTCAAGGACCGCCGAGGGGAGTGAAACTGATTGGATGTGGTCGTATCCCATCGTGAGTGGTGAGCGTCAGACTGGAAGTAGATCCCCTCCGCATGACCCTGGGAAGATGCTTGCAAGTGCTGAAATGTTTCCGGGGGAAGGGTACGGCGACGACTAACTTTGTCGATGGCGTTCGAGTGACCGACACACTCCGGTCGAGGAGAGAAATCCAGGTCTGTGTTGTTTGCTTGGTGAACAAGAGGGCTCGTTGGGGCTTTCAATATATAGCTCGAAGAAAACGAGCCGAAAGAGGGAGCCCGGGAACGGGCTGCCGGGGCTGCCGTCTGAACGGATAAGGATTGGCCTCGTAGAGAGGCAGGGAAAACGGGAGTACTGAACCAAGGCGTGGTTGGTGAGGAGCTCAGTAGTGGAAAGTGTGCGTTAACGGTGCGACCAGGCACCGACGATGACGGGGTGTGCTGCTGGCTCTGGGCTTGAGAGCTTCCTTCCCTGAAGTCTCCTGAATGTAAAGCTGAGCGAGGGCGTTCAATATCGGCCGGCGATGCTAAGTGCTGATCACTCGAGCCAGACTGGTCGCTGGGACCAGCACTTGCAGGTGCTTTATCTTTCATATTGGCGGAAGGTACATCGGACGTCTGGGGGGTGGGGTTCGGACTGTTTCCCGCCTATATCAAGTGACAGGGTCAGTAACGTCTCGGATACATGACAATGAAACTTTTGCTGTTTTAGATAAGAGAGAACAAAGAAAAGAAAAAGAAGAATCCGAGACACTAAGTGGGTTTTACAGTGGCAGGACATACGGAGTGATGTGATGCCCATCGCGGCGCATCAGCGCTTTTGATATACTGGATCAGTTCCTCGCGATTTGTTGCATGCATTCCCGGCCGGCTTAGATCCAGGGAGGGACCCTCATATGGGACATTGTGAGGCCCCGTGAGGGGGTGGCTTCCCAGGGGCTCCCCAGGAGGGTGTTTCCAAGGGGAAATGGTCTGACGTCGACCATTAAGCCGTGGCTGGTGATCATCAGACCACGAATCCTGGAGCCGCTGGTGTTCCGGATCCTGGAAGATAGGCATGGTCACCGGGAGAGGGGATGGGCAGAATGACGGGAAACGAGGGCAAACATCGCAACCTCAGGAGTCGAGAGCAGGGAGACGGGCAGCGAGGACCTCTGATAACGCAAGAGGGAGGGGATTGCAGAGGTTGCGATGATCCGCCGAAACCGAAGTGGCGGAAGAGGAAGAGTCACGGTGGAGTCGACGATGACTTGATCTGCCTTTTGGAAGACTGGCTCCGAGTGGGTAAGTTGTTTTTGGGCGTGGGGAACCAGAGGGAAAAAGAGGTGATATATATATATTTAGTACTATAGACGATAAGACAGCAAGACTGACCGGGGATAATGAGCGATGAAATTTAACAGGGTATCTGAAACGACTAGAGGATCAATCGGGCGCAAGTAGAGAAAGAAGAGCAAGCAGTTAGTAGTAGACGTGAGGGGGAGAGAAATGCGGAAGAGGAGAAAAAAGACGAGACAGAAAGAGAGAAGATGCGGAGGCAACGCTTTCGATTCCATCATCGCCGACCCTCAAATCAGTTTCACTGCCCAACTCTAGATTTTCTATTCTCCCCCTCCATTGTAACCTTACACCTGCAGAATTATTTCCTGCAACTTTTCAGATAATTTCACTAAAATCCCGCCATTCCCGGTGGAGACAACGCAGCTTGCTTGGAAACATCCTGCAAGAGCCCATCACCCGCTAACTCGAGTTCCTGCACCCGCTCGGCCTCTTCCGTCCAAACCTTTTTTTTTTTTCTCTTCTGCAGCTCTTAAAAGGTCAACGAACAACGCATCCCACCCCCGCCACGTTGTCGCTTGATTAAATTCCTGCCCAATACACCGCTCCTTACCCTCCGCGACCGGAGTCGATTACAAGGAACAAGAAAAAGAAAGCAGATCTCAATAGACAACTACTTCAAATCGCCCGACCAACCATGGCCCCGAAACGCTCCCGCGACGATACCACCACCGCCGACGAGAAGCGGGAAACCACTAGCGATGCCCCCGTGAAGAAGAGAAAGGGTTTCAGCGTTGGCCCTGCAAACCTCCCAGATGGAACATACCGTCGCAAGAGTGAGTCCTTTATTTCCCCTACCCCTCCCTCAAATCCAAGACCTAGAAAGCTAACTAGAGAACCCAAATATAGCCCAAAAAATCAAAAATGACCTAATCCAAAAAGCCAAAGTCAAAAAGGCTTACGCCAAAGTTCGCGCCGCCGAGCTTGCCGCCGCTCCATCCAGACCTATCTACACCGACGATGCCCAGAATCAAGACGAGGATAACAAGCGCGCGGACCCGGCCCCGGCATCGTTGGAACTTCACCCGGACCGACAGGCTATGCTAGACCAGCCTGCGCCAGAGCCGGAGCCTACTCCTGCTAGACCGCAGCGTGGGGAGAAGCGCAATGCGAAGGGTCGTCGTGAGAGAAAGCCCAAGCCCTCTGCGTTTGCTCGGGAGATGGAAATTGCGGAGCAGCGGAGGAAGGAGGCTGAGAAGCGTAGGGAGGAGCGCGAGTTCAGGCAGAAGGATCGCGAGGCGATGGCGCGTGCGAAACGGCCGGATCAGACGGGGAAGAGGAGATTGGGGAGGGAGAGTAAGGTGTTGTTGGGTCGGGTGGAACGCATGGTTGGGAAGGCATAAGATGATGATGATGATGCTGGATGGCAGGGCAGTTTCAATATTGATTGCGATGGTGTTCAAAAGTTTGAATATGATACCCACTAGGTAGTAATGGCTACGATTTTTGATCTTCTTTATAGGGATTGGGCTGCTACTACTGTCAAGATGATTTGTAGATTTCTTTCGTGAAGATGAAGATCGATCTAGGCGGATGGTTTGTGCCCGTTGCCACTCCGCGGCTTTCTGAAGCATGCAAACTCTCCTTTGGTCCTCTCTCTCAAGCGCTTTAGGATGCCTCTCATTTCCCCCAGCTCGGACTGAAGCCGCGCACGTGCCTCGTGGGTGGTCCGCCGATCCAGCTCAACATAGATCTGACTTTGTATCGCGGATGCTTCATCGGTCGAAAACTGGGACATGGTCTGCGCGATGAACTCGGTATCCAGTGTGGCCTGCATGAGGGCTGGCAGACTGTACGAGGACCGAGAACTAAAGGCGTTCAGAAGCGATGTCGACACTTGGGTCAGCAAATACGTAAGAACGACGGAGAGTAATGAAGACTGGGCGGCGGATGAGGAACGGCTCGGCACGGCCGTCAACGTCGAAGGGATGGTAGTGGTGATCTCCGTGTGTACCAGCACCAGGTCCAGCATGGTAGTGTAGACGTATGGGCGGACCTGATCCGGGCGGGACGATGCCGGTTCCCAGTCGGGGGCAGTGATGCTGTTGACAATTGTCGTGTTCAACGCATTGATGGTCGGCTTAGTGTATGACTGGAACAACCGATCGTCGATCTGGTTGAGCACATCGCGTACTGTCTTGGCCTCCTCGGTCAACCGGACCGAGAATGAGTTCTCAAAGTTGGCAACCAGCTGCGGGACGAGATCGGCCTGGAATGCTTTGATGTTTGACAAAGTCAAGAGGATGCGCACATTCTATAGACGCATTAGCCAATGAACTACCAGCATATCCGAGTGTTAAAAAAAAAAAAAAAAAAAAATGACAAACTACTTACTCTATTCCGAGAATCGACCGCATCCGCGATGAGTAGCGATGGAGATGTATCAAACTGGTTTCGTGTCGCCGTGGAGCCAGCTGCGATCCATTCATCCTCATCTTCCGACGATGTAGGATGCTCCGCATTCTCAACCAGGCCACTCAGAGCTTTGTAGACGCTAGACACAAACTGAGTGCGAACCATCTGTAGTAGTTTGGCAGGAGGCTGGGCCACAACATCTACAGAACCAGATCTTGCCATGGCCTCCGGAATGTAGAGGATCTTCTGCATACCCGCGATGATTGCGTTCTCAAAGGCAACAAATAGACCAGGCATCTTGGTCAGATCTCTCTTCTCCGGGTCCCGAGTCCAGTCTTCCAGCATCTTACAAATTTCGGCGTCCTTTCCCCAAGCTGCGCATGCCACACGTACTGAGCGTTCGCGTGCTACACTCACAAGGGATTTGAGAAGATCACGGGTGTTAGTACTGTGCATCACAGGCTCCAAGGCGGCCATCTCGCTAGCCGCTGTGCCAATGAGCACTAGACACTGACTGAGATAGTGAATGCCGCTAAGAGAATTTGAAAATGGTGGCCAGAAGGCATAGTCTTCCCAATGTTCCCCACGCTTCGGTGTAGGGAAGGGCATGTTCTTCGGATCAAGCTTGAATCGCGACTCCGTTGGGGTCACACCCCGACTCCCAGGGCTGCTGGGACTGGCGGTGGAGACGGGCGAGGTGAGGAGGGATACATCGTCCACAGGGGGGTCGGCGAACAGTGAGAGAACGCTCTCGCGGATGAGATTGAGCAGCTCGACGACACCCTTTTGCAGCTCCCGGGCATCGTTGGAAGAGAGCCGATGGTGTTTGCGACTTTCTCCCTCGAACCCAGCGGGAAGAAGCTTTTGCCTGCTGCCGTCGATGAAGGATTGTGCTACTTCCCAGAAATCGAAAACCTCGCCAAGAAGACCTCCTTCAGAGGACAACAGTCTGCTCAGATACGTATGTATACATTCCCAGAGCTCGATCACTTGGTCGCTATCGCGCATGGTTTGAGTGTCCAGAGCGCCGTCGCGTGGTGCCAACCGCAGATATGATGCCACTGTTTGAGGCGTCGGTTTCTCCCCACTAGCTAGTCGACGCCTCAGAATTTCTATCTCGACCTTGCAACGGTCACAGAAGGCCGTGATTTTCTTCTTCAAAAAGTCGTAGCGACTGAGAAGCCAGACCCAGATAGGATTGTCCTCGACCCCTAGCTCCAGGAGAGCACCGATGAGCTCCATGTGCTCTTCTACGGGACCTGTAGCAGTAACAGTGGTCGAGGTAGTAGGCGCATCGCTGAGGCGCCTCCACAGGTCGCGTTTGAACGCTTGAATTTGTGAATCAACATCGATCCACATTCTCCCCATAGCCAGAATAACATGGGCCTCTTCATCCGTCAATGGCTGACCCTTGCTCGTTGCGGTATCGGCAATATCCCTAGCAGTCTTGGAGAGGGCCCTCGCTTTCCGGTACTGCTCAAAGACAGAGTCATAGTCTCTCTGCTTAATGGACTTGGAAAGATGACCGCCTATTTCGTAGATATCTCTATGTTTTTCCATAGTGTCGACGACCGACTTGAGCACCTGCTCTCTTTCGCGACCTCCCAATGCCGGACCCCACACCTCCTCTGCTTTGACGGATGCCTCGAGCAACGGAACACGAATACCCTTCATGCCGTATTCACTCTCTTTCGTCAGAGCGTTCTTGCCGGGACCTACATCGGAAAGGGCCGACGTGGCTATACTCTGTTTGCTTCCCGAGAGGCTGCGCAAATGACCAACCGACCGGCGGTTGGCATGAGGGCTCAAATACTCCTCTTTCTTGCCCTGATTCCTCATTTCTGTATATACACTGTCGATAGTCGCTTTGGCTCGAACGAATCGTTCGAAGTTCGCTTCGACGAGGACTTTCAGCGACGCGGATTTCTGATCAATTGATTGAGAGAGGATGTTGAGACCTTCGAGAAGGGACCGTATCGACGCATCGGAATGGACTTGGGAAAGGAAGAGCGCCGGGGAGAAGGAGGTCGATGAGAGCAGGAAACGATTCCGCAGGCGGCTTTCCTCGTCTAGAGACAAGCCTCGCATTTTGAGAATCTTGAGCACACTGTCCCCCGTTCCCAGGGGATCAGGCTCATCCATCTTCACGAGGTTCTCCCGACCATTGTTCGCTTTGAAGGAGCCTAAAGTGACCCCCTTCCGCGTGCTATTGTTGCGCTCCAGAGCAAAGTATCGGGATTTCTCCGAGCGCGAGCCACGACGTTCTAAAGCTTCGTCTTCGGAATGGTCGCTTTCATCCAGCTCAGCGGGCCATTCTTCGGGGAAAGCCGAGGGCAAGTTATAGTAACTGGCCACGTCGACGTCAGCCATGTTGGGGGGTTTGGGTGGGTGTCTGGGAAATCGGCGATAACGGAGGTTGTTATTATGGGGAGAGCGATTAAGCACGGAGGGGAGGGATTAGGGAGGCCACATGCAGGAAAATGCGCAGCAGCAAGGGTGGGGAAGATGGGGGGTGGGTTCAAATTAGGGTGTTAACTATAGAAAAGGATAGGCACAGCCAGGACAGGCAGTTCGGAGGAAACGTTTGGGACGTTGGGTTAGCTTGGGAGTTATCAGATCAAGCACGGGAAGCAAGACTAGAGCCGGTGGACTGACGGTAACTCGCAAGTCTGTCTTTTGTTCGGTCGGTCCGGGAGCGGCGGTGCCGAGAATCACTGGATGGATTAAAGTGCCTTTCTTCGCCGCGACTTGCTCTCTTCGTTCCCGCACAAGCAAACCCGCCGCCGCCTTTTCCACCTCTCTCTCTCTCCTCTCTTCCCTTTTCTTCCTCACTCTCCTCTCTTCCTTCTCACCACACCCCAATTCCTTCTTTTTATTTCACCCTTGACCGTTTGACGTCGATCTCGGGGACTTTTTCACAATGATTGCCGCCAGGAACTTTGTCGCTCCCGCCCGTCAATGCTTGCGGACAACACGTGTGTCCCCTCGCATTGCCTCGCCCTTCTCGCAGGTAATCTACCGACCGCTTTCCTCGACAACATGGCCTGGAAGGAATCTCGATCTAACTGCACTTTTAGCTCCGCACTTACTCCGCTGCTGCCGATGAGCGCGTCGCTAAGTTCAAGGGTCAGAAGGATACTGATGTATGTCGCGTCCCGGGCAACGCCTGAAACATTTTTTTGCTTCCATCCTTTGGTCCGGTAGCTTCCGCCGCAACCTGCGACAACGGCCTTTATTCAACAGCTCTTCCGAAGGATGGATCATTTCTGAATGGCGTTGTTGACATTATGTGTCCTGATAGGGAAAATACACTGTTACTCTGATCGAGGGTGACGGTATCGGTCCCGAGATCTCCCAGTCGGTGAAGGATATCTTCGCTGCCGCAAACGTACGCCTCCCGCTACTTCCGATCGCCTCTAGTATACCAATCCAGCGATGCTAAATTACCTGTGTGCAGGCCCCTATCAAGTGGGAGCCCGTCGATGTTACTCCCATCCTGAAGGACGGCAAGACCGCCATCCCCGACGACGCCATCAAGAGCGTCCAGAAGAACTACGTTGCGCTCAAGGGTCCTCTTGCTGTATGTCCATGCTTCCTAGACTGTTTTGCGATAAGTCTTTCTCTAAACGCTTTGTCACATAGACCCCCGTCGGCAAGGGACACGTCTCTCTGAACCTGACCCTCCGTCGTACTTTCAACCTCTTCGCCAACGTCCGTCCCTGCCGCTCCGTTGCCGGTTACAAGACCCCCTACGACAATGTCGACACTGTCCTGATCCGTGAGAACACCGAGGGTGAATACTCCGGCATTGAGCACGTCGTCGTCGACGGTGTTGTCCAGAGCATCAAGCTCATCACCAAGGAGGCCTCCGAGAGAGTGCTCCGCTTCGCCTTCCAGTACGCTCGTTCCATCAACAAGAAGAAGGTCCGTGTCGTGCACAAGGCCACCATCATGAAGATGTCCGACGGTCTCTTCCTCAACCTTGCTCGTGACATTGCCAAGGAGTTCCCCGACGTCGAGTTCGATGCTGAGCTGCTGGACAACTCTTGCCTGAAGATCGTTACCGACCCCACCCCCTACAACGACAAGGTCCTTGTCATGCCCAACCTGTACGGTGACATTCTGTCCGACATGTGCGCCGGTCTGATCGGTGGTCTTGGTCTGACCCCCTCCGGTAACATTGGTGACGAGTGCTCCATCTTCGAGGCTGTCCACGGTTCCGCCCCCGACATTGCTGGCAAGGGTCTTGCCAACCCCACTGCTCTGCTTCTGAGCAGTATCATGATGCTTCAGCACATGGGTCTGAATGAGCACGCCACTCGTATCCAGAAGGCTACTTTCGACACCCTCGCCGAAGGAAAGGTAAGCTAGCATTTTATCAAAGTGACGGTACCATTGCGAGACACGATGCTAACAATTGCGATTTTAGGCCCTCACCGGTGACTTGGGTGGTTCCGCCAAGACCCACGAGTATGCTGAGGCCATCATGAAGCGTCTGTAAGGGATTGGAACATGCCTGTACTATTCCCCTAAATTGTTTCCTTTTTAGCCTGTGAATGACTCTAGACCCAAATATGTAGTGATCTACTGTATGTGCTCCCATGTATTTAGATGCCATCTATGTTGTTTTACTTCCTACCTCGGATTTCCTGCTCTCCAACTGTCGTCGTTGGAGATAGAAAGATACAAGTCAAATAGCTTGATCAACGGACTATGCATAGTATATCGTCCGGCAAAAGAACAATGGATGGTAGAACAAAGAAAGAGAAAAGTAATCATACAAACAAAGCCCCACCAAAACGCCTATTTCTCCCAAGGTATCATTATCGACGTATTTGTTACAGACAGAGCCAACGAACGTCAGCAGAAAGCACATATCAATATCAAGGCTGACGCCGTCGACCCCTCCGAGTTCCCGTGCCTGCTGTACCTCTGCCCTTCTGCTTCGTCCTCGATGTCTGGGCACGCGTACTTCGCGTCGTAGGCGAGCCCCCCTCCGCTTCCTCATCGACCTCACTATCATCCTTCGCAGCGTCCGAACCATCTTCATCGCCTTCTTCATTTGCGCCTGTCTCCTCGCCAGAATCCGCTTCTTCCTCCGCAGCTCCGGAACCCTTCGCCGGCGGTTCGACCTCGACATGAAGACGCGACGAACGCGTCCCTCGTCCCGCTGGACGCCCGCCACGACCTGACTTCCGTCCTCGTGATGGCGCGGGGGAAGAGCGAGGTTCTGTATGAGATGAATAGATCGCGATTAGTATGCTTTCCCCAACAACCAGTTGACAACCAAGGCAGAGATATTATATACGCACCGTCCGTATCAGCCACCGTGCTCCCCCTTCTCGATCCCGCATGCGTACTAGGATCAGGAGACGCGGTTCCTTCCATCGCCAGCCGCCGTTCGAACATCAATTCTCCATATTCATCCTGGGGTAATTCGAACGGGCAGTAGAATTCCTTTGAGTCCTCGGCGGTGTCTGTTATCAATGAATCTTCCTGCTCACCCCGTAATATTAGATGAATGTTAGCACGAGCCAGAATCCAAAGGACGTAATCTCCATGGATGAAAGAAGGCATCAACCCACCCGTTCATCCAAAGCCGGAAGATTGTATAATGTCCCCAGCTTCTTCCATATCCCCGGTATCCGTGTGTGTTCTGCGTGCGCGGGCGCATAGCCTTGGCTTTTCATGAACTCCGAAATCGCGATCATACGGAAGTGCTTGTGCATGCCTTTTGAAAGAGAAAGAGGGCCGCGTTAGCGTCACACTGCTCCGATGATAGTGTTTCCCCTGCGCGCGCGGGGAGAAGGGTTGCGATCAACGTACCGACAGGCTTCCATTTTATAATCCCCTTCAATAACGCGGTCTCTTGCTCGTCCGTCCAGGGATCTGTCACTGGGTCGTAATCCGCGGTTGTTGGCTGATCAGCGGTGCTTGCGGACGGCTCGGCATTCTCGCTTTGGGGGGTAAGTTTGGCTTTCTTGCGCGGGGGCATGGCGATTGATTGGTGCGTAAAGAGAGACTGTGTGTAGAGGTGGATAAGGTAAATAATGTTATTTCTGAAGGGACGGAGGGGAGAGCTCTCGTCCGCGGGTTGGTTGAACCGCGGCGAATTCCTGCCGCTTCGGTTTCCCGAACAAGCGGTGGTCCGGGCGTTGGACGGGGAGAGGCACTAGTCTGGTTCGGGTTTAGTGAGGCGTGATCTCGCGCTGCCAACGCGTCGTCTGGTGGTTGTCACTTGAGATTCCCACGAGGTTTTGGTGGGCTGTGTTCGAGTAAGAACGATGAATACGGGAGACTCCACTATTGGCCCACTGTATGGTCATGGTCTGTGGATGATTGACAGGTTTATCTGGCGGTTCCTGCATCAATTGAAGCTGTTGCCGTGGGAGAAGTTGTCTGCTCCATACTACTAACCATATGCTGAAAGACATCATTAATAGGTTCGGACTGCGAATTGTTTCAAGTGTCATTTCGAGTGCAATTCACAGATGCGGCAGGGAAATGTTTCAGAATAAAGTACGATGAACGTACGAAACCTCTTCGTTATGTCTTTGAAGGGTTCCCTACGCTCGCTCTCCGCTGAATGGAATCTTGGTGTGCGCCACGACGTTGAACCTGTCAGTCGTCGGATGAGTGAAACAAAACTTCTACCTCTATTCGCTGCTTACGCGGCATAGAACGTGTCCAAGGTTCTTAAAAACGTCGGGTATAGGATTTACATTCAGAAAAGCGCCAGCGACTGTCTTCGTGTGGCCCGTTTGGAGATGAGGTGACTATAGTGCGACGCCATTTAGTTGACAGTCGCTGTCCTTGTAAAGCAGGGCCGACTACTTGTCTTAATTGAGTGACGTGAGTAAACGAACGATTCGATTCTGACACTAGTAGACTATCCTACGTCTGACTCGCGCATATTGCAGGCGCACTTCAAAGCCAATTTTATCCTTTCACTTGAAGAACATCACGGTCCGTACATAGTTCTTGTGAAATTAGCGTTCTTATATACATCTAACAATGTCGTCTTCCTATACTAGCGACGAAGGCTATTTCCAGTACTGAGGAGGCGCTCCCCTTAGAAGAAATGAAGGTCCGACTGCGCCCATCCTTGCTCCAGAAGGATCTTCCTGGCGGACTCTTCCATGGCCTCTGGACCACAGATAAGCACCATGCTCTTGCCATCGGGAATGGCGTGCTCCTTCAGCAGGTCTTCTGATATACGTCCACGGCGTCCAGTCCAACTGTCCGGAGCCTTGGTTAAAGTGTGTACCACCTTACACTTCTTGCTATCCAACGCTTCATAGGCGTCCAGATCGGCGCGGCAGAGGATGTCCTCTTCCTGTCTATTGCCATCCAGGACCACGCATGACGTAGGGTCCTGCTTGTCCTGCATCACCGCACGTAGCACTTGGAAGATTGGCGTGATACCAGTTCCTCCGCAAATCATCTTGAAAGAACTAACATGGCGCTCTTTCCCGCTCACCAAGATCTTGCCGTTCCCAAGGTACTCGAACCTACCAGTGGGACCCTTGCAGTCGATCTCTGATCCCAACGCGAGCTTCTCTAAGGCCATGGTCATCTTGCCACCTTTGACTGTGGGCGTGTCGAAGTAAATTTTGACCAGCAAGTCCATGGTGCCTTCCTGGTTGGTATCGGAAATAGGGGTGTATGAGCGGATGATGGCTTCTTTGCTGGTAGGGTCGGCGACCTTGATCATGAGATGCTGGCCAATGGGCAGACCCAGGGTTTGTTTGTCGTGTTGGAGCTGGAAAGTGAAAATGCGCGTGTCCCAGGACACGTCCGTCCTCTTTACAAGTGTTGTCTTTGTCCATGATTTCGACTGAAGGAATGTTGCGCGAGGTTCATCCGATTGTGGTGCGTTGTCGTTCTTGAGCGCTTCCAAGGACGCCTTATCCATGGTTCCGATATGGTAATCGGGCATCATGGCTTTGGCTGTTTCGCTATCTGTGGGTGTGTCAGCATTCTAATTTCCATTGTTCGAAGGTCCCTAGGACGTACGGATTGCCAAAAATTCCTCAGAAACGTCGATGCCAGCAGACGAGATGATACTCTGAGCTCCTCCCGGATGACCCTCCAGGAATGCCGTGCCGTCGTACACTTCACCGTTCACGATGAACCAGGGCTTCTCATCGCTTGAGTTCTTCTTGAATTCTTGAAGGTCGATAATCCGGTTCACGCCCTCTTTCTTCATGTTGATCTCCTTCTCAGGCTCAGGCTCTGTCGGTTCCTCTCCTGCTTGTCGTTCTCCCCAGTAACCATTGACCAGATCACCCCCGGCCTTTTTGACGCGCTCCATCCATCCGCCGGGCCCAGTAGGATCTGTTGGGTGCTCGAACCTGAGAGTCCCGTTCTCCTTCGTGATGGTAACCCGGAACCAAGGATTGTTCATCATGCCCAGAACAGACCAATACATATCGCGTGGTTGGAGAGCCAAAGCCTCATCCATGGCTCGCACGAGAATGGCATCTGTATTCTCTAGCTCAGGAATGGCGATATCCAGCGACCAGAAGCACCAGCAGAAACAAGTCTCGCGCCAGGACATGTCTACTCTACCACCGAACAAGTCCCCTTCAAAGTCACGATACTTGTCTTCGGCATATGAGATGTTGGCCAATCGCCAGGCTAAAATCATGTTAGCTCTGCCTCAACACATTTGCGCGATGATCGTCGTACATTTGCCTTTATCTAAAGATATTTCGACTCTCGTAATCCTCCGACCGCCTCCTGCATAGGCATATCCTTTCACGTTGTACGACGGGCCTGCCGACGCAAGATCCAGCACCTCCTTATGCTCGGGGTATACAACAGAAGAGTTCACGTTAAGATCATAAATCGCATATCGGTCGTCGCGCCACCAGTTTGGGTCACTGGACGACATTTCAGGCGAAACCATTGTCCTGGATAACAGTTAGACAACGTACTCTTGTGGTCGGATAGGCAAGTCTTACGGTAATACTCGGTTGTCATAGATGTGGTACCAGTTATCACTGGGCGCATCAGTGAGAATGAGCTTCTTCAGCCATTTGACACTTCGGCCACCGATCTGGCCGGGTACGACAGCTCTCAAGGGACGGCCGTGATCAGGACGGAGATCCTCGCCATTCATTTTGTGGGCCAGCATGATTCCCCTATTGGGATCCATGGCCCAATTGAGTTTGATCGAGGTCCCGTAATACCCGTTTGGCTGAAAGCAAACTGTCAGAGCACTGCATGCATGGATGGATAAGGTAACTTACCAGCTTATCAGCTCCCTCCATGCAGACATACTTGGCTTTCCTCAAAGGCTTCGCACTCCGTAGGATATCTGCCATCATTGGGCCAGTCCAGAGAGCCGTCGACAGGCCGGCAGAACCCCATGAGAAACCTTTGGTCTTCCTGACCACATTCTGCTCCTTCCGTCTGTTTCCCGCACAGACGAGAGTGATTGGTGCTGTGATCTGATCGTATTGCTGCAAAATGTCCCGGAAGTTGAGGACAAGCGGCTTCTCCACCAGGCTGCATATACATTGTCAGATGATGACGCGATGTTTGAGGAAGTCGAGATTCCTTACCCTTCAATGCTAATCTCCCAATTGGGGATATCTTCGTCCTTCACCAATGGTACCGGGCCATGATTTCTCACATAGAACAGTTCCGGGGAGGTCAAGAAGCCTATTGGCAGGTGAGCATCGCTACGAATACAAGGAATTTTGCGCCGAGTTCAAAAAGAACAGGGCAGCAGGAAAGACGTTGAGTACCTTCGTCGTACAGCGCCGTGAGTGGAGGCTCGACATTGAAGGGATGAACACCGGTCAGTCTGATAAGGCGAGGGTCGCGCGGAACATGATAATCGGGGGTTGGCTTGTCTATACTGAGGACCTCGGTTGGCTCTTTTGACGGGGGCGGCAGAGGAATGTCTGAAAGTTCCACGGCAGGCAACTCCTCTTGGTGGACCTTGATCGGACCCGACTTGAGGGTGACCCCTTGAGCGGTGAAAGGCTCTGTCAGCACCTCAGTGACAGTCGCCATGGTATGTGTTTATGTGGTTCAATGGCCTCGAGGTGCCAAATAAGGCATGAGACAATATCAGGGATGAAGACGAGTATAGCTTAGGACCGATACAGAGCATGCAGAAGGCAGATGAGAGGAGCAAGACACTCATCCGGGGAAGACCAGGGTTAGCTACGGGAAAATTAATCGCTCAAAAACCAGATGACAGATGAACCCTCAAAACTGCCGGCTTTTGGATTAGCTCAACGGGGTGTGACCAGCAACGGCCGGGACCTGGTACTAAGTCCACGGAGAAGAAACAGGAGGTATTCCACCTCGTTTGAGATCTATTTTGGGGGGGAGGGCGTGAGTGAGGGCCAACATTCGGCCGGAGAGATTTCCGCGGGAGCCGGTGGATTCGAACAATGAGTGAACTAACAAGCAGAGATATGTAATAGTATTACTCCGTACTCTCCAGCAGGTCTAGTCATGGCCTGGTGTGTCCTCCAGTCGGGTAGACAGGGAGAACACGGGCTTCTCATTCGAACATTCCTACCGGGAATGTGGGAACTTGAGACCTGGTCCCGAAAAAAAAAAAGTATAAAAAACCAGGCATGAAAAAAAAACTGGAAACAAGCCTCTCCCGAGCAGCAAGCAGACTCACTAAACTAAACTCGATACTAGTGACAATTTGTGCTGTAATGGAAAAACAAGCCCCAGGAGGACAGCGGCCAGATCCACTTTTTTCCAAAGGGCTCCACCGCCGATTAATTGCCCATTAAATGCAGCAGGATTACGAAGTCTCCAGTTGACCGTGATTAATCGTGTATTCACGGTATCGGGGATTATTGAGCAAGTAATATTGCCTGGGACTGTTGTGCTTTTTGCCGCAGTGGGGGGGCGAGCAGGAAAAAGATGGAAGAAAAGAAATGGTCCCATCGGCCGACTACTAGTCAGTCAGTAGTCAGTAGTCAGTAGTCAGTGAGTGGACGTCTAGAACAACCGGTAGTATGTGAGTAGTAAGCCGTTAGTATGTAGCATGCACCTGCTGCTGGAAACCCAACGCATCCTCAAACCATCCATCGAATTCCCTCACAATGATGTGACTCCAGCAACTGCAAGGAGCTCCAGTCTCTTTCCCACCCGCATCTCTGGTACGTATACTTCCGATTGCGGCCAATCAGACGCTTATCAGGAACCGATAAGGAAGTCGCGATAAGCAACAGCCTCAATGCCTTCGTTTCTCCATCGCATCTCCGCGGAGTCGTGCTCGCTCGCTCAATTCATGCAGCCACTCCCCAATTACCGATCGAACCCATCGCATTCCCGGTTCTTATCCGTCTTTCCCCCTCTCCACGAACGGTGGCTCCTCTATGATCTGCATGGCGGGTCAAGAGGTCCCTGATTACAGTACGATCGAGCATGGACCCCCCCTCTCTCAACCGATTACCTCAGAGGTCATAGTCACCCCTCCAGTCAAGTCCCACGGAGAAACACAATCCAAACGCCCTATCGACCGTAACTCCGCGCAGTTATCGTTCGCCTCTCGGCGAGATAGATACAATGATGGTGGTTTGTTGCCTATGGCTGTGTAGCGCAACTCCGGTGCCGCTCGGGTTCCCTTTCCCCTGTGGCACAAACAAAACCGCGCTGGATTCCTCTTGGCCACTGTCATCGACGTAGGATTCCTTGATTATCCTCTGTCATCAACAATGCCTCTGTTGGATGGGTCTGGGAACGGTGACGCTGTCGTCATGGACAGCGTCCCCAGTGTTCTCTCTCCCGCAGTTGATTCCCTACCAGACCCGGCTATTCGCCGATCGGCTTCGAATAGACGCCAGAAGATCGTGGTGGTCGGCTTGGGCATGGTGGCTATCTCCTTCATGTATGTTTGGGTAGTCGAACACTGTTTATTGGCGCCGAAACTCGGAATACTGACTACTCCTGTTTGTTCTTAGTGAGAAGCTCGTCAAGCAGGACTCTGAGCGACGAAAGTATGATATCGTTGTAATTGGCGAAGAGCCACACATCGCCTACAACCGAGTCGGCCTCTCGTCGTTTTTCGAACATCGCAAGATCGAGGATCTTTACCTGAACCCGAGAGAATGGGTGAGTACTCCGAGTCCGCAGAGTTTCCGATCCGCGTTCGGGATGGGCGGTCTTGGTTCAGACACTAACGCCGACGCCGGTGCCCTAACTAGTACGGTTCCATCAAAGACCGATCCTTTGACTATCATCTCAACACTCGGGTAACCGACATCTTCCCCGACCGCAAGACGGTCAAAACCTCGACTGATGATGTTATCCCCTACGATATCCTGATCCTGGCTACGGGCTCGGATGCCGTGCTGCCCACGCGCACCCCAGGACACGATGCCAAAGGCATCTTTGTTTACCGGACGATCTCGGATCTGGAAAAGCTCATAGAGTTTGCGTCAAAGCATAAAGGTGAGACGGGCGTTACTGTAGGAGGTGGTCTGTTGGGTCTAGAAGCAGCCAAAGCGATGACAGACCTGCAAGACTTTGGTAGTGTCAAACTCGTCGATCGCAACAAGTGGGTGTTAGCGAGACAGCTCGATGGAGATGCTGGCACCCTTGTGACCCGCAAAATCCGAGAGCTGGGATTGGATGTGCTACATGAGAAGCGGGTTGCACGCATAAATACGGATGATGACAACAATGTTACTGGAATTGTCTTCGAGGATGGGGAAGAGCTCAGCTGCTCGTGCATCTGTTTTGCTGTACGCTCCTGTTTGCCAACGCCAGCTGCTTTTGACGCGCTAACTCTCAGAATAGATCGGAGTCAGGCCACGAGATGAGCTGGGCGAGTCTGCGGGAATCCAGTGTGCTGGAAGAGGAGGTTTCGTTATCGATGAAAGGTATAGTCACTGCTTGAATTTTATTTTGATACATACTAACACACTACAACAGTCTCCAAACATCCATCGAAGACATTTATGCGATCGGCGAATGTGCTAGTTGGGAGAACCAAACCTTTGGTATCATCGCCCCCGGCATCGAGATGGCCGATGTGCTCGCATACAACCTCACCAACCCCGACAAGGAACGCAAGAGCTTCAAGCGACCAGACCTCAGCACCAAGCTAAAGCTGCTAGGTGTAGATGTGGCCAGCTTTGGAGATTTCTTCGCCGATCGGGATGGACCCAAGTTCCTCCCCGGTCAGCGGCCGTCAATGCCCTCCGGAGATGTAGCTGAAGATGAGCCGCCTGTAAAGGCCCTTACTTACAAGGATCCTTTTGGCGGTGTCTACAAGAAATATCTCTTTACAATGGACGGCAAATATCTCCTGGGTGGCATGATGATCGGAGATACAAAGGACTACCTCAAGTTGAATCAGATGGTCAAGTCCCAAAAAGAGCTGGACGTACCTCCCAGCCAGTTCATTCTGGGAGCTCAGAGCGGCGGAGAGGAAAACGCCGACGATCTGTAAGTCATTCAATCCGGTCAGACTCCGAAGTAATTTGCTAATTACTCATTGCGTTTATAGGGATGACAGCACTCAAATTTGCGCCTGCCATAATGTTACCAAAGGCGACTTGGTTTCAAACATTAAAAATGGCACCTGCAAAACCGTTGCGGAGGTCAAGTCGTGCACTAAAGCGGGAACCGGCTGTGGCGGCTGTATGCCGCTAGTGCAATCGATCTTCAACAAGACCATGCTGGACATGGGACAAGAAGTCTCGAACAACTGTATGTATCCACCTATTTGGGGCTGTCGGTATTCTTCTAACGTGTATGTAGTATGTGCTCATATTCCACACGCGCGGGCCGATCTCTACAATATCATTGCCATTAAGCAACTGAAGACGTTCGAGGATGTCATGAGGACGGTCGGCAAGAACCCCGACTCGCTTGGCTGCGAGCTGTGTAAGCCTGCAATTGCCTCGATCCTCTCCAGTCTTTTCAACAGACACATCATGGATAAGGATTTACACGAATTACAAGAAACCAACGATCGGTTCCTTGCCAACATTCAGCGCAATGGGACCTTCTCGGTTGTTCCTCGAGTGCCTGGAGGGGAAATCACCGCGGACAAATTGATCACGATCGGGCAAGTCGCTAAAAAATACAACCTTTATTGCAAGATTACTGGAGGTCAGCGTATCGATTTGTTTGGGGCTAAGAAGCAGGATCTGCTTGACATCTGGACGGAATTGGTCGATGCGGGTATGGAGAGCGGGCATGCGTACGCCAAGTCACTTCGCACTATCAAGGTATGTATCTCCATGATGATTCGCTGATTATGTTGGGTCTGAGAACATACTAACGCTTCTCAGAGCTGCGTGGGGACCACATGGTGCCGGTTCGGTATTGGCGACAGTGTTGGCATGGCCATCCGGCTAGAAGAGCGCTACAAGAGTATCCGCTCCCCGCACAAGCTAAAGGGCGCTGTTTCCGGCTGCGTGCGCGAATGCGCAGAGGCACAGAACAAAGAGTGAGTTTTACATACCTGTTAGTTATCCTTAGGGCATCTGGCTAATCTGCTTCAGTTTCGGTCTCATTTCCACCGACAAAGGCTTCAACATCTTCGTTGGAGGCAACGGAGGTGCCAAACCTCGGCATTCCGAGATCCTCGCCAAAGATGTTCCGCCCGAGAAGGTCATCCCGATGATCGATCGGTATCTTATATTCTACATCCGCACAGCAGACAAGCTGCAACGGACAGCTCGCTGGATTGAAAACCTCCCGGGTGGTATTGAATATCTACGTGAGGTAGTCGTGGAAGATAAATTGGGCATTGGGGCGGAGATGGAACAGCAGATGCAGGATCTGGTTGACAGTTATTTCTGCGAGTGGACCGAAACAGTGCGAAACCCCAAGCGGCGCAAATACTTCCAACAATTTGCCAACACGGACGACACGGTCGACACCGTGGAGGTGATCAGGGAGCGCGATCAAGAGCGCCCGACCTACTGGCCTAGCGAACCGGCCAAGGAAGACTTCAAGGGTCACCAATGGTCCACTCTCTCGTGGCAGCCGATCATCAAGGCTGACTATTTCTCGGATGGCTCGCCACAGATGTCATCCGCCAATGTGAAGCGTGGGGACACGCAGCTGGCTATCTTCAAGGTCAAGGGCAAGTACTACGCGACGCAGCAGATGTGCCCTCACAAACGGGCGTTTGTCCTGTCAGACGGGTTGATTGGCGACGACGACGCCGGCAAGTATTGGGTGTCATGCCCCTACCACAAGCGCAATTTCGAGCTCAACGGGGAGCAGGCAGGCCGATGCTCGAATGACGAGAGCATGAACATCGCAACGTTTCCGATTGAGGAACGGGATGACGGGTGGATCTACCTGAAGCTGCCGCCTGTCGAGGAGCTCGACTCGGTTCTGGGAACGGAGAAGTGGAAGGTGCGAAAGGGCGAGGCGCCCGATCCTTTCAAGAAGCATGACAAGAAGTATAAGGGGATGCGAGGGAAGAAGGCGGGCGAGAAGGCATCCGGGTGCGGTACGGCTGCGCCGTCCACCGTGATTGACTGGTAGCCGGTTCGTCTGTGGCGACGGTGATAATGATGATGATGATGTTATGATTGGAGCTAGGGCTTCTTTGACTGGATTCGGACGTTCATCCACAGCACACCATGTAATCTATTCTATGTATCTTCCAATACCAGTTCCACACTGTCTACTATTCGTATTACACTTAATCCTTAGTGGTGGCCCAGGGAGCCCCCAGACGACACACACGACTGGACGACTGGAACCCATCGTGGATATTAAGATGGTGCCATATTCTGCCCGATGCAACTGCTGCCTATATTAATTGCTGTTAGTCCATGCTCGGGGACGCCATACATAAGTGAGCAGGTGCTAGTCCGGCCTCCAGGAGCTTACACTGGGGGCCCGGGGCAGCCGTTCGTAGCCGAGGAGCGTTCGTTGTATTTTGTGGTTTTACCTTGCGTGCCTTGCATGGCCAATTCCAGTTTTGCACCAAAAGCAGCCCGGCGTTCCGATTTAGGGCAGCGGCTGTCAACTTGTCCGGGCCCCCCTAATGGGCGAGTGCTGATTGGCTGGGACGAGGGAGTTATCAAGGATCAGCCCACGAGGTGGCCCGTGCATTACATTTCTTTTTTCCTCTTTTACAATTTTTCCCAACTGGGATTGCTTTCTCATTGTTTGGGTCTCCTTATCGGCCAGTTTCAGCCTATCTCTCCAGTGTCTGATACGAAATCGGATGCCGAGGGTTCCTATATCGGGAGTGAAGAAGTATCATTGTACTACGTAGACAGTTGATCTGCAACCCCCTTTTCTTTTTTTCTGCTTTCCCTTTGTACATCTTCCATCCGGACGGAAGAGAGATGGATCCCTGAAGCAGTTCGAAACCGGGTCGAGACAACGACGTACAGTACTAGATGACTGGATATCCACCTGCCAAAGAGGCGAGGAATACGTAAGGAGGTAGTGGCCCCCGTTATTAATTTACAGCCGCCCCATCTGGCTGGCCACTACGGGAGTAGTCTATAGTACGGAATAGTAGCTGGCACCTCCTACTATACCCGACTGGGGATGTATGTTGTAGACTCTCGCAAGGTCAAGCAATGGCAAGCTTCAGGAGGGAAAATTTTTTGCTAGCTCGTAGACGAAGGGGAAATGGATACTACTAGGACTTGCAAAGTATTTCAGCCGGAGGTTTGAGGAGGATGACTTGCGGTGACGATGGCCCACTTGCCGGTGGGTTTGAATATTATTTTTTTTCTTATTTGTATTTCTTCTTTGGTTATGAATGTCTATTTCAGGATGAGAGAAATTGAAAGTGACCGCGTCGCTTCCTGAGGCCGCGTCTCCATCCCGTGATACAGTTACCGTTAGTCTAGTAGGAGGAGTAAGTGAGTAAATGAGTGAGAGAGTGAGTGTGGCTGCCTCTTTCCCTTGGGTCTCCCTCCCTATCTATTCCGTATGACTAGTCTATCTCTCGCCAATCTCTCTCTACCATTCCTCCCCTCCCTATCCCTCAACGCCCACATCCCCCCCGGAAATACACAAACAGTCATCCTTCTTCCCATCTACAATCCCGCGGAGTTACTTCTCCAGATCTTCTACCTTATCCTTATCAGTTCCCCAGAACCATGCCAATCATGCCCCAAACTGCCGTGCAGAGACCCTTGCTTATCTCCAGCACTGGTCTCGTTGGCCCACGCCTCCTGATGAGGGTCATGAACTGGGCCTCGATCGCCATGCCATGAACCCTGAGGTCATCTTCCTGCTTAGGTCCATGACTAGTGACTCCGGCTTTCAACGCTGGACGGTTTCTCTTACCGCGCGACCCAGTATCCACAGCCACGCTCAACCCGACTACCAGCTGTGGATCCCCGGCCATTGCTCCTAGATTGAGTTCACACGCTTGCCTTGGTTCTGTTTATTTCGCTGCTGTTGCTGCTGATAATATTTTATTTAATTTTTTTTTTTTTTTTCTTGCTGCCACACTGTGTTGGGCTTGACCCATTTCCTAGGAGATACTGATTTATGTTTCCTTGAATGTTGTGTCGTTTAATTTTATCACAAGCAAGCCACACGCATCAATCAAATGGTAATCAGACCGCTGACCCTCCTAGGAGATAGATAACTAGATAGATTGATGCCTTGAATGAGGCCTCCCACACGGGGGTGTCGGAGCGTTTCCTACGTCTGAGAAGAACGTTTCCACTTCTTGAGACACTATCCGAAGCACCGGTCTATATATACACGGCCTCTCCATCGATCTAATTCGGTCTTAATTCTCCTGTATTGCCCTATACCACACCCTCCAGTCTCATTGCTCTTCCGTGGGGACCCAGTCGTCCATTTGTCTGCTTGCATCTAATACACCCTGGTGGTGGTTTTTCGTCGTTGTCGTGATACCCTTCCTCTCTGTGCATACTTGAAGCCCTCCTGTACTTTACATCCTTGCTGTCTCATCAGTGACACAGTTTACCATCAATTGATCTTCCATCGACGGAATTTGTCTGGCGATGGATCGCGTCAAGCTCCTCTTTGCCTCTCCGGAGATTAACCCGAGTAATCGCAAAGCACAGTCCATTCCCGTCCTCAACCCGTTTGACAAGTATGGTCGGGTTTTCTTCTTCTCATGGCTGGGATTTATGGTGGCTTTCCTGTCGTGGTATGCCTTTCCACCGTTGGTAAGTGATTCCTAACCCGGATGCATGCATGAATAAAGGCTGACATAGGTTCCTCATCTAGTTGACCGACACAATTCGCCAAGATCTTAACATGACAGAGACGCAGGTAGCAAACTCGAACATTGTTGCTCTGCTTGCGACGTAAGCCTTGCCCGCCTCAACACTCCTGGTGATATATAGACATCCGTTGACCATGTGCTAGTCTGCTTGTGAGATTCGTAGCAGGACCCCTCTGTGACAAATTCGGTCCTCGTCTGGTGTTTATCGGGCTGCTGCTTTGTGGGTCAATTCCAACTGCCATGGCGGGTCTTGTCACCACTCCTAATGGCCTGATTGCCCTGCGCTTCTTCGTGGGTATCCTCGGAGGTACCTTTGTCCCATGCCAGGTCTGGTGCACGGGGTTCTTTGACAAGAAGATTGTTGGGACTGCAAATGCTCTGGCTGGTGGCTGGGGCAATGCTGGTGGTGGAATCACATTGTACGTTGAACACTGTACCTGTTTGATCATTTGGCTTACTTGTCTCAGCTTCGTTATGCCCGCTGTGTTCGATTCCCTGGTCAAAGTCCAAGGCTTGACACCACACAAAGCATGGCGCGTGGCATATATCGTGCCGTTCATCATCATCGTCGGGGTTGCCCTGACCATGCTCTTCGTATGTGAGGACACGCCAACGGGGAAATGGTCGGAGCGTCATCTCTGGGTGAAGGAGGCCACTGAGTCCGAGGGCAAGATTATTAATGTCAACTCGGGGATTCCGTCTAAAGCCCCCTCGGTGTCCGATATGATGGCGGATGTGGAAAAGAAAGGCGGCGCCCAAACCCCCATCTCCCTGGGAGCCGAGTCCCAGCAAATTGGCCAGTTCGACGCGCTGAGGACGGACACGGTCGTAGCACCCACACGCAAAGAGGCCCTGAACGTGCTCTTCAGTATGTTCACTGCAGCCGTCGCCATCCCATACGCCTGCACGTTCGGTGCAGAACTTGCCATCGAGTCCGTTCTGGCAAACTACTATGTAGCGAATTTTCCCAGCATGGGACAAACTGAGTCCGGACGATGGGCCGCCATGTTCGGACTACTGAATATTATCTGCCGACCGGCCGGTGGCTTCCTGGCCGACTTTCTGTATCGGGCCACACAAAGCCTATGGTCAAAGAAGATCCTGCTGGTCTGCTTGGGACTCGTCACGGGAGCTTTCCAACTCGCGATCGGACTGACCAACCCCAAATCCGAGGCAACCATGTTCGGCCTCATGGCCGGGCTTGCCTTCTTCCTCGAAGCCTGCAACGGTGCCATCTTTTCTTTGGTGCCTCACGTATACCCATTTGCCAATGGTGAGTTCCCGTTGATACTTATTTTGAATGACTCTGTACTAATGATGATAGGTGTCGTGTCGGGTGCCGTCGGCGGCATGGGCAATTTTGGCGGAATCATCTTCGCCATTATCTTCCGCTACAATGGGTCGCACTATGCTCGATCACTCTGGATCATCGGGGTGATTTCGCTGGCAGCGAACGTATGCATCTCGTGGATCCGGCCGGTGGCGAAGAACCCGGTTGTGAGGCAGTGATGCATTTACTATTTGTTTATGAAAAGATCTTGATGATAGTCTAGCACATGCGATTTCATGTCTATATAGTAATCGATATATATGGGAATGAGCTTCTACTTTGCTGTTCTTCTGATCTTCGTCGTGGCTTTAGTTCCTCCACCAAGTCTGCGCACGCGTATAGTAGCCCCGTCTGCCCGAGTTAGCAACTCATGAAGCAGTCGAAGTAACCATGGAACCCAAATTCTAGAAGCCATATACAGCACACACCGCACAAATGTAGATCGGATAATAGATCCCCGGAAGACAGCGGAAAGTCAAAGCGCAATGATGATGGCATAGCGAATACTTTGAGTTTCGGGCCCGTTTATATGAAGCTAACCATATGGTCGGGAGAACCATTCTACCTGACTACAATTGATATAACTTGATTCTTCCATTTATCCTATCTAACTTGAAATTGAATTAACTACATAGTACACTACTTCTACGATATAAATATCCGAGATACCACCGAAAATGTCTCAACGTACGTGACCCCATCCCTCATTTCCACCACCACCACCATCCCCTTATATAAATAGTATTTATTTACTAATATAATACTATATGTTATAGACCACGAAAACATCTTCGACAAAATGTTCCACCACCACAAACACCAAGACTCCCAGCAGAGTGCCAGCCAAGGGAAGAACGACAGCGCCCAATACGCCTCTCAGCAGAGCAACCTGCACGAAGAGGAAAGTCAACCCTCGCATCATGGAGAAGAAGAGGGGGTGGTGAATAGGTTTGAGGATTATATTAAGGAGGATGAGGAGTTGGAGAAGGAGGGCCAGACCTATGGGGGGTTAATGTGATTACTTTTATTTTTTGTGGTGGTGTTGTATGAGGATGGATTGGGGATCGTTAATTCGAATAAGGTGTTTGGGTGTAACTATTTGTTACTATGTTGGATGGAGTATGGTAGTGTGGGTAGTTTGTAATGTATGGAATCAGTAGGAAATATACTAAGTTGCTGGTTCTGTATATTCAATTGGGATGGGTGGGAGGATGTCGAGTGAAAGAATTTATATAAATATCATATTTACCTGGGAATTAGTACCATATTCTTATCCAAGCTAGTAGTAGTAGTAGTAGTAGTAGTCGTTGATGCTACCACTAATCTACAGATCCTGTAGTAGATCATGCATGTTACCACTATCACAGTGAAGATCCAAGAGCAGACAGAATACTAGTAGTAGTAAATTAGTACTAGTACCGCAGATACTAAAACGAGGCCACCGCTAAAGGTAAACAAAATACTACCACTTACTAGTAAGTAGTTCATAAAACAACTATTATACCCAAACTAGAATATGTATCTATATCTGCTATACAAACAACTCTATCCTACTACACATCAAATAAACATCATCCCCCCACTCCAACTATAACAATGAACTAACAACTAACTAACTACCCCTCCCTTCGGCCCATCACATCCCCCAATTCGGGCCATCATCACCCCGAATTCACATAAAAGCATACATATACACCACCATACCATCATCCCCTATCCTCACTTCCCAGCATTCATACTTTACCCAGCATTGAACCTCACTCTCAATCCACCTCCCCGATCCACCAACTGCAAAAATGCCCACCCGCCGCATCGCCCAAATCGTCCACCTCAAGCCGTCCGCCATCGCCGCATACAAAGAATGTCACGCGAACGTATGGCCCGAAGTTCTGCAACAGATCAAGGAGTGTAATATTTGCGATTGTACATTTCCCCCCAGAATTCTCCCATTTATATATATATATATAAAACAAGTGTAAAGCTGATATGGGGCTATATGCAGACTCTATATTCTTCGATAATGAGCGGACGTTGTTCGCAACATTCAAGTATGTTGGAGAGGACTTTGAGGGGGATATGCAGCGCATGAAGGCGAATCCGAAGGTCAGGGAGTGGTGGGCTTTGACGGATGGGATGCAGGTATGTTCATCATTCAATCACTTTATCGAGATGAAGAGGAAGTTAGTGATGCTTACATACTATTGTGTGTAGGAGAGTCCAGTGCCTGGGGCTGTTGGAAGTGCTGAAGGTCCTGGGTGGTGGAAGGTATTGGACGAGGTGTTCTATACTGAATAAATTGTACGAATATTGAATTTCCTTCTTTTTTCCACTTCTCACAGGTATAGAAATACATAAAACTACTTAACGGATCTCATTCGGATCCCATATACAAGCCATGCAACAATGGGTATCTTCGCCGGGAAAATCCGTAGCCGCAAATCAGCTGCTCCAAAAACGCCTGCTCCCTCTAACGCAAATATATCGGTAACCAATCGTTATAGCTCGTGTAACACCACCAAAGTCAATGCCAACCACCAGGGTATGGGCAGCCCACGGTGTCGGTCTCATTCGGCGCTGCCGGGGACATCCTTCAGGATCTCCCATCCAAATTCGTCCTCTGGCCTCTCGGGCTCCATACCAAGCGCATTGCGGTACGCCCGCACCTCGTTCTGTAGGCCTGCAACGATTCGGATAGGCAGCTCTTCCTCCTCGGAGCGGAGACGGTACGCCGTCCGAATCATTTCGGCACACTTCATGGTCTGCGCATGCCAGTAGTCACGGTCTAAGCGGCTCTCCAAGTGGGAGTCACGCTCCGCTTGGAGCAGGTTGTTGTAGTGGCGTTTCTGAGACAGATAGTGCATGTTGTTGTTTTGGCAGTAGTTGCGGATTTGCTCGACCATCGTCCCGAGGGTCGCCTCATATTCACCGATCAATTTGGCATTCTCCGCCTGCTCGGTTCGTAAGACCTCAACTAAACGTCTCTCTTTGGCGAGGGCACGCTCGAGCTCGGTAATACGGGCACCTAAGCGTGTCAGCAGCCGTCCACACAGGAACATCCAAGCAACCCCTTACCAGTGATTTCCCCATTCACTTGCTGCAGGGTCGGGTTGGCACCTTCCGATCCAGAACGTTTCTGTCCCTGTCAGCCAGGTTAAACCAGACTATTTATATACTTCCATGGAAGACATACCATAATCTCTTCAGCACTAGTTACTATACTTTTCGTCATTTCACGGTTGTTCTTCAACACGTCGCTCAACTCCAATACCATATCGTAGAGGTGATGCAGGTCCATCTGATGGCCCGCGTTCATAGGAACTGCGCCGTTCATACCAGGCATTCCGCCGCCGTTGACCTGAGCCGGTGGGTGAGGCATCGCAGGCGACATCGAGGGACGGGGAACATTGGGCATGCCCGAAGCACCGCCGGAGCCATCGCCGTAGCTGGCAAACATGGCCGACCCAGGGCTACTACCAGTCATGCCCCCACTGCTGTTCATCGACATGTTTGCGGTGTCAAAAGCGTTGTTTAATAGGGTGAACTCGGGATCGACGGCAGGATCCGGTTTAGGGAGGTTATGGTCGTCGTCAAAGCCGAACCCAGAGGTCTCTAATCCCAACACTTCTTTTCTGAATTTCTCAAGGTCACGACGAGTAACGTGGGTGGAACGGCGGCGATGCCCACGCACAAAGGGTGCCTTGGAATCAGGGGAAGGCGTAGACGCGCTGATGATGCCGGGTGAAGAGGGCTCACTTTTGCTGTAGCTATTGGTGTGCGCGGTCGGAGTCAAATCGTCAAGACTAGGGAAAGGAACCGTTGCGGTGAGAGCAGCAGCAGACAATGGAGAAGCCGCAGGTAAAGCTGGTCGATGAGGGTCATCCACCTCGTCCTGATAGTGAACCGTGGCCGCGGAGAAGCCAAAACAGTCAAGCGTCGGGAATTCGGAGGATTCCAGCCGAGCACCAGCCTCGGCAGCGCCACAACTTGGGGCGGTGGCCGCGCCAGAATTCTCCATTTGCAAGTCAAGTGACAATAGGTAAACTAACTTGTGGTAGTTATGCCAAAGGGGGAAAAAAGGACAAAAAGAGTGTGGTGAATGAAGGAACAATAAGAGGAAGGGAAATCGATAGATGGGTAGGAAATTAAAATGGGGGAGCCAGTGAAAGAGAAGGAACAGAGCAAGTGCTGCTGCTGCTGCTGCTACTACTCTGTAGTCCCAAACAACCGTTTGGCTCTCGTTCTTCTCCCTCCTTCTGGTCTGTCACGGGCACTTGCTATGATCGTTGCAGCCGCAGTCAATCGCTTGGTCCCCCCCTTGCAACTTCTCAAAGTTCCGGTAATTGCATGGGAAATCGTCTAATTATAGCTGCCCAAGGAGACCCGCGGCGAAGAGTCCAAGAAAATTGAGATCTACTGATTGATTATCCAGCTGCAATGGTTGCCATGCATCTGTGCAACCTCTTTGCCGGCAATGCCGCACTCTCAATCTTCAAAGGTTATTATGTACGGAGGCGCAACGCTCTCATAAATGTAGGCAAGGCATGCGATTTAGGTATTCGGGCATCCTTCCATTCCATTCAATGCATGAAGTCATTCTAGCCGGGCCCTTCCTCTTTATTTGTCATCACGTCATGTCCAATAAGGCATCTAGTTTCTGGTCGCACCCCAGATACGGCTTGTCTTGCTCCTGAGCGCCCAGTTTCTTCTTTCCCTGCTCGACTCGACCGCCAACTCGCGCAACCAGCATCCTCATCTTGTCTAACTCCTGGACTAGCTCGCCATCTCTCGTCACCAGATTAGGCTGGATGTTTTTCTGCGGTTCCCGGAACGGCTCCAGTAATTGCTGCAACTGTCGTAATTGATCTAGGCGCCGTTGTCGCTGTTGCCGTAAACGATCCAGATCCGTCAGACGCTCCCGTAGTTCTTGGTATCTGTATCACAATTAACCAGCTGAAACTGCGATCGGTGCGAGGGGTATCCCAGACCTAGCCCGCTGTGCTTCGCTCGCGGATTGGTTTTCCAGCTCCAACGGGAGTTGTGCGATATTCCTGCGATATTAGATCTATCCCATTTCCCAGTAGCGGAATTCCAGGGCTCACAGATGACTGGATAGATCCACTGATCTCTCGACCCCTTTTAACAAAGATCCCGGGTTGGGGATTGCCTGGGTCACCGATGACCAGTATAGGCTGGTAATTTGCTGAGCGACATGCTGAACAGCTTGAGAGGAATAGACGATGCGGCTGTGTTGTTTCAAAGCGGCGTTTACTGGTGTCCCATAGGTTCATTAGAAACATACGCAAATTGAAGAATGATATGCTTATTGACCACGGTACAGGGTGAGCAAGCTTGTGCTGAAATTACAGGCTGGTAAAAGTGAAGACTCAATTCTGGATGCTTGCACTTACACTTTTGTAGGACATCACCGACCACCTTATCACTGAGATCATCCTCTTCGGTCTCAGCGGCGTAGTTTCGCCAGTCCTCGGCTGGCTCGAGGCCTTCAGATAGAATTCGGACTTGCGCCCTGATAAAGGACGACTTCAGCTCGGAGATGGTACGAGTAGATTCCATGGCTCCATAGTGAGGGATTGTGATCGGCCCAGAGGATAAAAGAGGACCATCGCGATTTCAGCTTCACTGAACGCGTCCGGCGCTATCGATAAGCATCCACGTGACGGATACGCAGTGCCCCCTTCCGCCAACCTGCCATCGATCGCCCATCATTGCAAGAAATTGAGTCAATAGTCTCCTTGCTTCTTGATGATTTGTACGTTTCAAATCGCTGATATTGCAGGGCTTCTGCGGCGCAGGTTTGGCCTCCAGGGTCTGGAATACCCCTGCAGCTTTCATTGCCTCGGACCTTGACTGCAAACCATAAGCAGCAACCGATCTGTCGTATCTAACCTCGGTAACTTGGACCCCAGGTCTACTACTAACTACTCCACCAAAGAACAAACATCAAGCGACATCTTCGTCTCGCATCTAGATCACCCTTGTCGCTGCTATCGCTGTTCATCTACTTTACCCCAGAACTTTTACCGACCAGTGTATTGCTACTATGGCTGACAACCAACGGCCTATAGGCCTGCTGTTCGACATCGGAGGAGTGTGTGTAAGGCTGCGCCATTGCCCAACCCAAAAATAACAGTCTGTTGATTAAGCTGCAGGTCGTTTCTCCCTTTCAGGCTATTCTGGACTATGAGCTGGCCCACAACATTCCCCCAGGATGGGTAAACTTCAGCATCTCTCGTACGTCGCCGAACGGCAGTTGGCACAGACTCGAGCGCGGGGAGATCAAGATGGATGCCGACTTCTTCACGGAGTTCAATAAGGATCTACGAAACCCCGACCTGTGGAAGGCTTTCCATGAGAGACTTCAGAAACAGCGCCCGGATAGTGCGCCAACATCGGTTCCTCCATTACCCGCCCTGGACGCGGAGTTCCTCTTCTGGGAGATGATGAGGGTGTCGAGGACACCGGATCCTTACATGTTTCCTGCTCTGAAGAAACTGAAGCAGTCAGGACAGTTCATCATGGGGGCTCTGTCTAACACAGTCATCTTTCCCGATGGACATCCCTACAACACAGACATTGATGATAAGAAGTCGCAATTTGACTTCTTTATCTCATCTGCGCATACGGGTCTCAGGAAACCAGATGGGAAAATATATCAGGTTGCGCTGCAAGAGATGGAAAATGTAGCAAGAAAGAAGGGCCTAGGTGGAATTCGCCCATCTGACATTGTGTTCCTCGATGACATTGGAGAGAACCTCAAGGGCGCAAAGAAAGCTGGCATGCGAACCCTGAAGGTAAATTTGGGGCGGACCCAGGATGCTGTCAAGGAGTTGGAGAAGATGACGGGTCTTCAATTGTTAGAAAGTCCAGAGAAACCCCGGCTGTAAATCATATACTTCAGACAGCCAGATAGATCATATTCGGTCAGCCTACCGTTTTCTAGATGTGAGAATTCTCCCCATAAAAGATGCTGAAAGAGAAGAGGTGGTTTTGGTGGTTGGTAGTGGTGGTGGTACATACTTCGGTCCTTCGGCCGCTCGTGGCCAACCGCAGTCTGGCGCCGGGATGCAGCCACGCTAAGCGAAGCCTTCCACAAAAGACATCCCACGAAATTTCCCACCTCTTCCTTTGCAGCCACCGTCGACAAACCCCGTCATCAACCAGCGGCAACCGTCAAGATGGTGAGTTTTGCTGTAATTCTCAAGAGACTGGGAACCGACTTCAACGCAAATTCCCCCCTCGCCTGAACGTAAATTTCAGGTCATCCCACATGGGCGACCGCACTGTGGGATTGGAAACGGGTCTTTGCAAGATGCTTCGGACGGTCTTTCTCTGAAGCGCAAATTGCTGACTCGACTGTGTCTTGTAGCCTTTCCACAAGCTCGTCAAGAACAGCGCTTACTACAGGTAAGAAATCCACAAGACCCCTCATTTGGCAAAAATTTGGCATAAACTAATAAAACTCCTTCTACAGCCGCTACCAGACCAAGTACCGTCGTCGCCGTGAGGGTAAGACCGACTACTATGCCCGTAAGCGCTTGATCACCCAGGCCAAGAACAAGTACAACGCCCCCAAGTACCGCCTGGTCGTCCGCTTCACCAACCGCGACATCATCACCCAGATCGTCTACTCTGAGATCTCCGGTGACAAGGTCTTCGCCAGCGCCTACTCCCACGAGCTCAAGCGCTATGGCATCACCAACGGTCTGACCAACTGGGCTGCCGCCTACGCCACCGGTCTCCTCCTTGCCCGCCGTACCCTCAAGAAGCTCGGCCTGGATGAGCAGTTCCCCGGTGTTGAGGAGGCCGATGGTGAGTACACCCTCACCGAGGCTGCTGAGACCGACGAGGGCTCCCGCCGCCCCTTCAAGGCTTTCCTTGATGTTGGTCTTGCCCGTACCTCCACTGGTGCCCGTGTCTTCGGTGCCATGAAGGGTGCCTCCGACGGTGGTATCTTCGTCCCCCACTCCGAGAGCCGCTTCCCCGGTTTCGACATCGAGTCCGAGGAGCTCGACGCTGAGACTCTCCGCAACTACATCTTCGGTGGCCACGTCGCTGAGTACATGGAGGGTCTTGCCGACGATGATGAGGAGCGTTTCACCTCCCAGTTCCACAAGTACCAGGAGGCTGGTATTGAGGCTGGTGACATTGAGGAGCTCTACACTGAGGCCCACAAGGCCATCCGTGAGGACCCCTTCAAGAAGGACGAGGATGCTGGTGAGAAGAAGACCAAGGAGGAGTGGAAGGCTGAGAGCAAGAAGTTCCGCCAGCAGCGCCTCACCCGCGAGCAGCGCAAGGAGCGTGTTGAGCAGAAGATCCGTGAGCTTGCTGCTTAAATGTCGGACTTCTAAGGCCGATCGTGCTTGATGGTTTTACCCAAAAAAAGAAACTTTGAGTGCGATAGTCAAAAAGTTTGATAATTCTCTTTGAAATATAGGGGAATTAAGGTTCTTCTTGCCCACTACTACTTTTTTTTTGTGATATCCAGTAGTCTTGATGAAATCTTCATGACCGGAGTTTATATGGCAGGGTTGAGTTTTTTGCGTTCGGAGCAATTAAGGAACGCGCACAATGGGATATTAATTGACCATCTAAAAAGTGCTCCGGTAAATGGCAAGTGTAGACAAATCGTAGATTTCACAACAATATATGCTATGTTAGTATCACAGTGGACCAACACAAGTTCCTGTCATCCTTCAACTGTCCTACTTTCTCATTCCAAGTGGATTCGCCCTCATCGATGGATTGTTCGAAGACCGCTCGGATATGTGGGGGAACAAGCAAATTTCGGTACATAGTCCAGCGTTTGTGTAGCCCCTCCAGGAGCATCTTCCCGCTCTAGGTAACATGCATCGCGCACTAGTCCTCTTTCAGTCTAGCCCTGAAGCCCTAACTGCCATCCCTGTGCCGTCACTCTCGGAACATGTTGCTCTGTCCGGCCAATTGCTTCGAGATGATGAGACTGGCTGGACAGTCTCGCATACCTCCTCGGAGAATGTAACCTATCCCATTTGTTGTCTGATGGGGCCAGGAAGAAAATTTTTGTCTTCATCGAACTAATGCTGCTTTGACACAGTCCATGACGAGTTGATATTCCGAATGAATGCGGATGCTTCGGCATGGTCGTACGAAGACAATGCCTGTTACTAGTAACTAGTTAGTGAGTTAGGCACTTGTTGGTTGATGGCAGACAGACAACAACAACGACCCAACCCCAGTAGATCGGACGCTACTGTATAGTACTACTTTGTACCAAGTACAAGTGGGTAGATATTCAACCCCAGGCTAATCTGACAGAGTGAATGAGTGAATGACATGTCATTCCTTAAGCGAAAAAAAAGACAAACCCACCTGGCAGATGATGTCATCCGCTCCTCTACTTAAGCATATTGTGCGCAAAGATCATCCATGCTTCAGGCCGATCTGTGTAACACCGTATGACATTTTCATCCTTTTCTTCACTCTCTCAAGCCTCATACGTCGGAGCTAGTATCCCACCAAGGGCACTCAGTACTAACTAACTTGGCTACTTGAGTAAGAATGGCAAAAAGAGGTGCGCTTTGCTGGTTACAGTGTATGATCAACATGTTCTCCTCTCGGGTTCCATAAAGTGGATCGCGTTAAGTTCAATGGATCAAGGCACCACGTACTATGGGAACATGGGTAACTATACTTCTAGTTGTTATCCGGGTTATTTGCCATCCGAACCAACTCTTTGGGACTTCGGTCTGCTTTCGTTCAGATGGATCGGAGAAATAATCTCACTATCTTATGGTTGTCCGGTGAGAAGCAGGAGTGATGATCATGGGCATATGGTCCATGGTGAGAACGCCACCCGAAAGGGAAACTGAAGGGCGGGACTTGGGATGACGGTGAACATCGTGAATAACTAGGGGCAGCTGGAGAAAGGAGAGTGTCAGGAAAGGAGATCGCATGGCTTATCATTCGATCAGTTCTTGCTGTTGGACTGACATGGACTCATAGCTAAAGTATATTATATTATTGACTAAATACAGGATCTAAGCAGCTGTAGGATCGCAGTCGATCGGGTCAGGTGCTGAAGAGGAGTTTCTGGAACCTATCACGTATACACACAATTCGTCGTAACCCAGGAGAAGGTAAAGGCATTGCGAGATGGACGGACAACTCACACCAGAATAACTCCAAGATCTACTGCATACTGTGTACACGGCACCCATACTTTCTGGTAGTGTCGGGCGCTGAATGCGACCATCAGCTCCAAACGAACGGTACTAACCCGCCCAGGTTTAGGATTATCTGGAAATCGATGATTTGCGGGTTCGCGTACGCACTTGTAATTTCAGCACCGGTTGAGGGTGGGCTTGGCAGGGTGTCGTGTGAGTCTTCCCTCTAATTCTCCTCGGCAAACAAATCAGGCGGAATATGCGGAAGATGTGTGGAAGTGGCAAGAAGACCCCGTCAGTCCAATTTTTTGGGGGGTGGGATAAGGCAAAAGGGTCATCATTCGATGCAGGCATCGGGTGAGGCTATCATCAGTCAACCCATTGTATTTTTCTTTCTGATCTGAAGTACTTCTGTAATGTGTGCAGTGTGCAGGACAAAGCGCAGTGCTAAGGTTGTCTTAGTTCAACAGCGTCGACAGGGGAGGGGGAGCCAAAGTACTTCTCCGTGGATTGGGGGAACTGACTGGACTCTGTAAGAAATGGTCACAAGTAATACCATTTCTAATACCGTCTAGTAATTTCTCCGCAACGGACTCGAGTATGTAATCGCCGAACTCCCCACTGGCGGGAATCATGCTATGTCCACTAGTCCCAGTTGAGCCACTTCCCTCCTCATCCCGATCGCCTTCAGTTCACTGGTCTGCTTTGCCCGCAACCCTTTTCTTCCTCTCTCCCTTTTTTCTTCTAGACCCTTTTGAAAAAGTAGCTCTCTCTTCCTCCTTGACATCCCCGTGCCTCATTGCATTCCCCTTTCCTTCGTCATATCCTTTTCACCCCCTTGACGTCGCCCGTCTTACGTTCTTGTCCCCGTTTCTCCGCTGTGTCACCATGTCCGCAGTACTTCGCCGCAGTACCATGATGGAATGTACCCACCGTCACCGTTCCTAATCATCCGCTGGCTGAAACTGTGATTTTTTAATTCTCGTCGCGAGGCATAGTCGATCTGTCGGTTCATTCTAATTTGGACTACACGCGCAGCGATATAGCCTCCGAAATACGATCTGTATCCCACTATCGCGCTCAACCGGGCTCAGCTTTCGCCTGAGGACGGCTGCTTTGCTGTTCATCAGCGAGCTGACGTCGTCCCTCTTTACACCTGTTTTATCTAGCATACTGTGATCAAATCGCATACGGACTCAAGATGGAAGGGATTGAGACTGTGGATGTCAGCTGGCTGCATCACTCGCAAAAAGGTAAGCCGGACATCGCTCAATTGTGCGTACCCTCTCCTAACTCGACCCCAAGACCATCTGTCCCGCTGTAAGTCGGCATCATCAGTGGTTAGCGATAAGTCTGTTGCGGATTCAGATGCCACAATTGCCCAAGAACGAAGTCTCGAAAAATCAAGCACTACCGATAATACCTCTTCAGCACCAGCCCCCGTCACTCCTACCGTATCCAAGGGATCGTTACAAGAAGATAGTGCAAAGGCCACGAAGGAGGTCAAAAATGAAGACAAGTCAGTGGAGGGAAAGCCTACTGGCACATCGCCAGCTACTCCGAAAACCGCGCCTAGGCCGGTCACCGGAAGAAGAAACTCATGGATATCGAGCCTGAGCTCCAAGTTCTCCTCTGGCTCTACCCCGCCATCGCAGTCGAATATGAAGGCACAGCAGAACCCGAAGGCAAGTTCTCCTGTTTCGAAGATGGACACGCATAATCCTTTCGGTGCGGCGTATTCTCCAAAGGACAAGGAAGAGGAAAGGACGAATGAGAACAGCCCTTTTGCTTCGGCGTCCCCGAAGGGTCCTTCGTTTTTGCAGAGCGCCTTCCGAAAACTCTCGTCATCCGCATCTGGTGGCACTGGTAAAGCCGCCTCTACTGGGACGATCTGCCAACGTCGCGTAATGAATATTGATCAGGATCGAGATAGGTGCAAGATCCCCGATCTGAATCCTGCCAAACTGCGCCGTGTCGCTTTCTGTGTGGACGTGGAGATTGCTGGGATATCCTATCGAGAATCTGATGAGGACAGCCCCCCTGCGAGTAGTAGGCGACGTCCTGTCCCGGAGGTTAACAATCAAAAGTCCAAACGATCGCATATCAAGTCGAAAGAGAAGGATGAAGCTGCAGCGTTGAAGAATCCCCAGGCTGCAGTCTCTTCCAAGGACAAGAGTAGCCCAACAAATGGGGCGGACGGAAAGAGTTCTGGGTCACCAGAAACACCGCCAGCCGACGCGAACGCCAATGGTGAGGCCAAAGAGCCAACACGAAAGCAGGAAAAGAAGAAGAGGTCAGAAGAAGAGAGGCGTGAGCGGAGGGAAAGAAGACGCAGACAGGCAGAAGCAAATGGCTCCATACCCATGCAACTGACAGCTGACGGCCAAGAGTATGGCTGCCGAACACCTGCGTCTAACGCAAACCGTACTAAGACACAGAGTCATCCGACGACAGATCCTGTCCGAATATATAGACGCTGTTGTCAATTGCGCGAGACGCCCGTGCTCAAGCGGATTGTTGACGAGATCTCATCACCCTCTTCCACGTTAGCTGAGTCTCCTGGAACTGTGGCTGTACTTGACCTCAGTGACTTTCCTATGACGGCCGAGGATATTGCTACTTTTTGCGATTGGCTCGCTATTGTACCCGTTCGGAAGCTCATCATTGAAAGATGCGCATTGAATGACGACTCGGTGCGATCTATTCTTGCTGCACTTCTTTCTACTAGAACTGTGGAACAGATAATGCAGCGGCGTAGGAAGGGAAGAAAGGCCGAGGTGGTAACTTCCGAGAAAGAACAGCGGTTCAGCGTCGTTGAGAAGGTATCGCTAAAAGACAACCCCAAAATCGGACCAGAAGGATGGCGTCATATCTGCCTATTCGTTCACCTTTCAAAATCTCTGAAGGCGATCGACTTGTCGGGCATTCCTCTTCCCAGGACATCCATTCCTGTCAATTGCTCCAACAAAGGAGCCTCGCAAACCCAAAACGTCACCAACGTAGCGACCCTCTTCGCGAATTCGCTTGCACAACGCTTTGGCGGGGACCACCTCGAAGAATTGCTGCTGAGCGAATGCCGACCTACGACCGAAGATGTGAAAAAAATTTGTGATGCAGCCACAACCCTTGGCTTGAGGAGGCTTGGCTTCGCCAACAACGAGCTGAGCAGGGAAGGCTTGGAGCACATCGTTGGATACCTCAAGGCAGGGAAGTGCGAGGGGCTAGATCTGGGTGGGAATCCCATTCAAGACCAGCTGGACTTGATCATATCTTCTTTCACGGATGATCATCCCCTATATGCTCTTAGCTTGGCCGACTGTTCCCTCACACCTTCTACTGTCTACCCCTTGTTCCAAGGACTGACAAGATTGCCGGACCTCCGCTTTGTTGATTTCTCCCACAACCCAGGTCTTTTCACAATGCAGCCCGATGCGCTAGCAACTTTCAGACGATTTCTTCCCAAGATGCCGGCCCTCAAACGCATTCATCTGGCCGACGTCAACTTGTCTCCTGACCAAACCATTGCTCTGGCTGAGGTCCTCCCCGAATGTCCCAGCTTATGCCACTTGAACATCCTCGAAAACCCAGCCATCACCGCGTTGGCATCTGCAACGGACCCTGCCAATCAAGAAGAGGCCTGCGCTGTTTATGCATCCTTGATGGCGGCAGTTCGTGTATCCAGAACGATTATAGCCGTGGAAATAGAAGTTCCAACTGCCGAAAACAACGAGGTTGTGAAGGCTCTGGCTTCCCAGATAGTTGCCTATTCTCTCAAAAACCTGGAGCAAGGTGCCATAGCAGCAGAATTTTCCGATCCAACAGATTTACCAACGAGGTCAGCTGTCCATGTTCCGGAGATCTTGCAGCATATTGTCGGCCACGGTACTGGAGATGAGGTGGAGGAAGACGACGAGGCTGCACCCGATGAGGACTATGTCATTGGAGGGACCGGCGTGGTTAAAGCTCTCGGTGTTTGCCTCGGTAACGTGGATCGCCATATGCCAGGAGACCACTCCGGACCCCCAAGTGGCACAACTACACCCAGGCATAGAAAGTCCAGGTCCTATGTCACCAAACGACCCCGTGACATGTCCAAGAATTTGTTGGAGTCGGCACGTAATATCCGGTCGCGAATCCAGTCGGCCCTTGTGCGCGAAGATAAGGCCGGCAATGACACCAATTACCGTATGTTGTTTCTCTTACTCCCCCCCCCCCTTTCTTGGGTAGTGATGCTAACCAACTTTTCCACTGCAGGACGTCTTCAATTCCTTGACTTCACCTTACAGCGCATGATCCAACGATTTGAAGACGAGTATCCTGAGACCCGCATCATACCCCAGTCCGTCCCATCGTATGCAATTCAGGATACTAGCTCACAGGGTTCTAACGACGACGGATGGAACGGGCCTGTGTCCGACAACACCCAGCTGAATGGTACCTTCAATGATGCCGAAGCCGTGGCAGATGATGAGGAGGAGCAATATGCCGTCCGACTATCGCGGTCAAGCTCGATTACGTCCCTTCATTCACGCGCCATGACCTCCGAGGAAGGCCATATTCACCGTCTCGGACAAAACATTCGGCGCGATTTCCTCCGACCTTCGTTCGATCAGGCCGACGATGATATGTCGGCATTCTCGTTTGACGAGTCTCATATGGCCGCCTTACGTGATAAACTTGATCGTCTGCAAGAGGAACAGACCCATTCACCATTTGAGAGTGTGGATGCGGACAAAGCGCTGGGAAGTCTGGGTACCACGGTGGAGGAGTTATGGGCCGCTCGTAAGAACGATGCGGAAACCTTTGAGAAATTCCGGCAAAGCCAGATCGCTGCGCAATTCAACAGTGGTAAAAGGACATCGTCTAGCAGGAGCAATGGGAACGACGATACCGAACCAGATCAGCAGGCTTCTTTCTAAGTTGGAGCCTGAGTTGACTGGGTTGATCATAGCCTACTTATGGCTTTTGTTAATACCTACAGATGCTTTTCCCCTCGTCTAGCTGGCGACGGGGCTACTATTTCTGAATGGACGGATGACTGGGATCTCTGCCGGCAGAGGATGGCCCTTGTTTGTATATAGGTCACCGGCGAGCGTGACATTATTGTCTGTATTTTAATCTACTTTGCATATGCGATGTGTATCTGCGGTGGCAATCTCCTTTCGTTTCACCAATTGTTTGCTTTCACGTTTGGAGGGGGGAAATCTGGGCTAGGGGTGAGCAAAGGCGTTGGCGCCAAAGGTGCATGGGCGAATCTGGAGCATAAAGGAGGTTAAGTATTACGGGATGAAATGAGGCGGGTTGTTGTTATTAGGGGATGAGTTATTAGCGATGGTAAACGAGTGATGAATCAGTCAATTAAATCAATCAATCAACAGTTAGTTACATGGAGTTGTAAACAGTTCCCCGCTTAGATAAGGCAGACATCCTCGGCAGGCCCCGAGAATCCGGGGAGGGAAGGAGCCCCCGGGCCTGTTCACATGTCAAGCCCCCATCCAATCCATCCATCGTCATCCCCTCGCTCGTCCCCCCCATCATATCTCTCTCCCTCTCCCTCTTCATCTTCCTTCTCCTCCTTCTCTTTGTCTCCCTTTCTCTCCATTTATCCTCCTCACCGGTCATGTTAGCCGTCATCGACTTCGGCTAAATACACTTCCGGATTTACGTCGCAACTATGGCTGCGCAGTCCAAGTTATTTCCGCCCGAGAGGTCCATCCGACACCTCTTCTCCCGCCTGGCTGCCACCTACCTCCGTCATCGTAAACAAATATCCCGTACTGTGTATCTAGCCCTCTTCGCTGCCCTTGTGAAACGCGTCCATAATGCCATCTCCGAGCAAAAGGCCGCCTCCCAGCACCAGGAAGAACTGCGCCGGCGCCCTGGAACCAGTAGTCTTGGCGAAGGCGGCGATCGTCCGCGCAAAAAGGTCGAAGTCAACCGGGAGTTCTTTCGCAACCTGCTTCGTCTATTGAAGATCGTGATCCCCGGTTGGCGGAGCAAGGAGTTACGGCTACTCTTTGGGCACAGTGTCTTCCTGGTGCTGCGGACACTGCTGAGTCTGTATGTGGCCGAACTGGATGGCCGG